CACTATCATCCCGGAAACCCTAGACCCACTCCAATTCGCATACCGCCCCAACAGATCCACAGATGACGCAATCTCAATCTCACTCCAGACTGTCCTTTCCCACTTGGACAAAATTAACACCTATGTCAGAATGCTGTTCATTGACTACAGCTTAGCGTTCAACACCGTAGTGCCCACTAAGCTCATCACTAAGCTAAGGACCCTGGGACTAAACACCTCCTTCTGCAACTGGATCCTGGACTTCCTGACGGGATGCCCCCAGGTGGTAAGGGTAGGCAACAACACATCTGCCACGCAGATCCTCAACATGGGGGCCCCTCAGGGGTGCGTGCTTAGTCCCCTCCTGTACTCCCTGTTCACCCACGACTGCGTGGCTAAACACGACTCCAACACCATCATTAAGTTTGCTGACGACAACTGCGGTAGGCCTGATCACCGACAACGATGAGACAGCTTATAGGGAGGAGGTCAGAGACATGGCCGTGTGGTGCCAGGACAACAACCTCTCCCTCAATGTGAGCAAGACAAAGGAGCTGATCGTGGATTACAGGAAAAGGCGGGCCGAACAGGCCCCCATTAACATCGACGGGGCTGTAGTGGGGTGGGTCGAGAGTTTCAAGTTCCTTGGTGTCCACATCACCAACAAACTGTCATGGTCCAAACACAACAAGACAGTCGTGAAGAGGGCACGACAACACCTTTTCCTCCTCAGGAGACTGAAAAGATTTGGCATGGGTCCCCAGATCCTCCAAAAGGTCTACAGCTGCACCATCGAGAGCATCCTGACCGGCTGCATCACCTTCTGGTATGGCAACTTCTCGGCACCGTAAGGCGCTACAGAGGGTAGTGAGTACGGCCCAGTACATCACTGGGGCCAAGCTTCCTGCCATCCAGGACCTATATACTAGGCGGTGTCAGATGAAGGCCCAAAAAATTGTCAAAGACTCCAGTCACCCAAGTCATAGGCCGTTCTCTCTGCTACCGCACGGCAAGCGGTACCGGTGTGCCAAGTCTAGGACCAAAAGGCTCCTTAACAGTTTCTACCCCCAAGCCATAAGACTGCTGAACAATGAATCAAATGGCCACCCGGACCACTTACATTGACCCTCCCCCATTTGTTTTTACACTGCTGCTACTCGCTGTTTATTATTATTTTGCATAAATATACATAAATAATTAGCCTACATGTTAAAGTGTAGCCTAAGTTATATGCATATTGGCTACAGCCTGTCATGTTCACACCGATGCTGACCATGAGGGATGCCCAGAAAATGTAGCCAAACTTTAATGAGACTTTTAATTAGGCTACATAAATATAGGCTAAACGCCAGTCATGTATGACAATTATAATGTAGGATAATTAACATTTAATGTCTAAAGTCTTGATTCTCTTGACATACTCGAGGCACAGTTCGTTCAGATCAAATGGTCAGAAGAGAGGAGAGAAAGGCCAGTGCCTGTTGTTGCCGCTATTTTGGCTCTATCTTCCCAGAACTGTCCCAGAGTCTGCTTGAACCGCCCCAGACACGCCCTTAATTTCGAGCCCTAGCTATAGCCTACCCAGAGAGAAAGCACATTGTTCATCCTCTCTCTCCCTCTCGCTGAAACTGTTGGATGATTATTTCTCCGTTTCTCTCCCTTGCTGTGTTGGCTCTAGTAGGGTAATGATTGGGGACTAGGGGCAGTCAGGATACAACACGTGCTGCTGTCCTCTCACTCACACGACTGCAGCTCTCTCTCAAATCCAATGACTATGCTCAACACACACACACCCCGCCGGCTCTCTCCCTCCCTCCACACCACTCAATCAAATTAAATTCAAAGGGCTTTATTGGCATGGGAAACATGTTTACATTGCCAAAACAAGTGAAATAGATCATAAACAAAAGTGAAATAAACAATCAAAAATGAAGAGTAAACATTACACTCACAAAGGTTTCAAAGGAATAGAGACATTTCAAATGTCATATAATGGCTATGTACAGTTTTATAACAATGTGTAAATAGTTGAAGTACAAAAGGGAAAATAAATAAACATAAATATGGGTTGTATTTACAATGGTGTTTGTTCTTCATGGTTACCCTTTTCTTGTGGCAACAGGTCACCAATCTTGCTGCTGTGATGGCACACTGTGGTATTTCAACCAATAGATATGGGAGTTTATGAAAATAGGATTTGCTTTCAAATTCTTTGTGGGTCTGTTTAATCTGAGGGAAATATGGTCATACATTTGGCAGGAAGTTAGGAAGTGCAGCTCAGTTTCAACCTCATTTTGTGGGCAGTGTGCACCAGTGGAGGCTGCTGAGGGGAGGACAGCTGGAATGGTATCAAACACGCAGTTTCCATGTGGTTGATACCATTCCATTGACTCCATTCCAGACATTATTATGAGCCGTCCTCCCCTCAGCAGCCTCCACTGATGTGCACATAGCCTGTCTTCTCTTGAGAGCCATATCTGCCTACGGCAGCCTCTCTCAATAGCAAGGCTATGCTCACTGAGTCTGTACATAGTCAAAGCTTTCCTTGATTTTGGGTCAGTCACAGTGGTCAGGTATTCTGCCACTGTGTACTCTCTGTTTAGGGCCAAATAGCTCACTCACTCATCACTCTCTCAACACCGCCTGCCTCACTGCCTGATAGTCAGCAGCAGCAGCTCACAGTGAAATTAATAGATGTAAAAAACAAAAAAGAGTGGCATTAGCCCATAAACCCACGACCAACACATTTTCACCCATGACATCGTTTTCAAATTAGCCCAATTTTGAAGTAAACCCGCGAGTAGCAGACACCTTTTGGTAACATGATTTCCTTGCTGGTCCCACTCCCATTCACAATGGTGTGATAGCAAAGTATTATATTTGTGTCTTTTCATTTTGTGAAAAAAAGGAAGAATCGCCTTCCCTTGCTAGTAGTAGTAGCTAGGTGGCAGCCTGACTAGTTGGCTTTAGCCTGGCTAAAACATAGAAAGCTAGCTAGCCTTTTTAGCTTCCCACATCTCCATGTGGAATAATCAGATTTATAATAAAAAAATATGCCAGGCAAATATTCTTATACTTTCCGGTGTAACCTAAAACATCCCATTATGATATACTGCTTGTGTATTCATTCCCATATCAGCAAAAAATTGAACGTAGTGTTTTGGTCACTGAGGAAAAGAAAGCACATGGCTAGCTACTTCTAAACAAATTACCCTTTTGTGTGGATTCTTGGGTTTTCTTGTGGTCATCTCAGTCTTGTCTTGTCTTCCCTTGCTAGCAAGTTGGCTAAACACTGCACATTAGCTAGCATTTTAGCTTCCCACATCTCCATGTGAAAGAATCAGGATTATATGCAATGGCAAATATTCTTATACTTGCCAGTGTAACCTTCAACTTTATCTTAATTTGATATGCTGCTTCGATGTATTCCCTCCCATATCAGCTAAAAATAGAATGTCATCATTTTTTGTCATGGAGAATAGAAAAGCACATGGCTATCTGTTTTAGCTCAGAATAACTTATCACTTCTAAACAAAATAATTTTGGGGGGGGATTCTATAAGGCTGCAATGTTTGGTTTATTGTTTGAACAGTCGCTGAGATTGGATTTGGTTATCAATGCAAAATAGGCTGCTTATTGAAAGCCAAGACAGCAATCTTGAAGTTGAAGTGATTTTGAAGTTGATTAGTTTCCCACATTGCCATGTGAAATAATGATTTATAGTCAAATAATATGCCCTGGCAAATATTGTTATATTTGCTGGTGTAACCTACAATGTCCCAGTTTGATATGCTGTTTGAATGTATTCACTCCTATATCAGCTAAAAATAGAATGTCATCATGTTTTGGTCATGGAGAAAAATAATATACCTTGCAGTTGTTTTTACCAGTAACCTGGAATCACTAGTTATTACTTCTAAACAAAATACATTTTGGGGGGGATTCTAATAAGGCTACAATGTTGTTTGGTTTATTGCTTGAACAGTCGCTGAGATTGTTTGCTTATCAATGCAAAATAGGCTTCTTTGATGCATAACCTATAGATCAGATCAAGGAACCAAGCAAGCTTCATTGCCTACACAACACTGCCCCCACGGCTACTGAAGGGATGATATGGTGCGTTACAATTTGCATGTGGCACGGGGTACGTGGAATGTCGGAGCGCACTTCAAGGAGCCGCCCCTTTTAATGGCGGAAAAAACGACACTGCGAGACTGCGCTACCAAAGATTTTTATAACAAACCCAAGAATGATGACAGCCTATCGTTTCCAATGGAAGCAAATTAATCATAGTGGGCAGAACAAGCAAGGAGGTGGGCAGAGCCAAGCACGTTCTAGCATATATTTGCATATTTCCATTATGGAACGCTTATTCTGTGAAGTACGTGTGTGCAATAACTCAATTCACCCTTGCACTCCTTCTAAACAACTATTTTTTTTCTTTTTCTTTGGCAAAGTAAACTTAGTCCACGCTGTTCAGAACAGTTCTAGTTCTGTACTAGTTTTGGAAACAGAAAACTGTATTGAGCTCAAATGTTTCATCGATTGAGAAAATTAGCAGAATGTCGGCCAAAGTCCATCTCGCTCCATCTTCTCCCACTGCCGGCCACTGGGCTTCCTCTCACCGCCATATCAGGGTTAAATAAAATAAAATAAATAAAACGCTCCATCGACTCCGTTTGCATATTCTGTGTAGACCCCTTTAGCCTACGGTCATAACCAATGAAAAAGGGAATCAGTATAGGATATGGTAATTCAAGAGTACGGGAGCATGGTTTAAATTCAGCAATGGTGAATCTAGCTAATATTCCTCTCTATATTTGCATCAAAGCCCATCTGTTTATCTGGCTGTTTGTTTTGATATGCAAATGCTGGCTACCAATTTATCTTGCCATTACAGTCTGTTCTGATTCTTTGAAGAAAACATAATGGTGGGGTCATGGAAAAACCCAGCTCCTTGGTTGTGGAGTAGAGAAGAAGTAGTGCATCGTGGGTGATTTCCCAGAGAAGACAGGGAGGCGATGGAGGAAGATGAGCCAGGTAAGTGTGAGTGTGACAGTCTCTTTTTAGTAAACAACTGTTCGTAACTTGACATCACGTTGCCCCTATACGTGTGTACTGCTGTTATTAGCCTACTTGTTTATTTGGCTTTACTGTTATGTTGAAGGATCAAATATATGTTGCAGGAAATTACATTTTATAAAATAGAATTGAATAGAATATAATATCTCTTCTAGTGTTGATAACATGCTCCTCCATCTCCATCACTGTTTTAGCTGTAGAATACAAGAGTCTGTTTGAGGACCCAGCCTTCCTCTGTGAGGACTCCTCCCTGTTCTCAGACTACTCCACCCCCATTGCCAGGTTCCAGGATGACATCACATGGCTTCGGCCACAGGTAAGACCCGGGCCTACACCTTATCTAATCAGAATTGGCCTTAGGTCACTAATAATAATAATATATATGCCATTTATATGCTGTGTTCCTTCCAATACATGTTATTTTTTCCTTATCACGTTGTGAACACTTGATCGCATAACAGAAGCAAGCATGTCCAATCTGCTCACAATGATTCTGTGTCTGTTAATGGTGACATATTTCTCTCTCTGTCCCTCCAGGAGATCTGCCCGTCTCCCACACTCTTCCCTGACAACACCGATGATGGCCATGCAAAGCAAGGCCTCCTGGGAGACTGCTGGTTCCTCTGTGCCTGCACGATCTTACTGAAAAACCAGCATCTGATGAAGAAGGTAAAGCTCCACAAACTTGTAAGGTACAGTGCATTCAGAAAGTATTCAGACCCCTTGACTTTTTCCACATTTTGTTGCGTTACAGCCTTATTCTAAAATTGATTAAAATCTTTTTTTTCCTCATCAATCTACACACAATATCCCATAATGACAAAGCAAAAACAGGTTTTTAGAAATGTGTGCGAATTTATTAATAATAAAAAAGGGAAATATCACAAATTACATAAGTATTCAGACCCTTTACTCAGTACTTTGTTGAAGCACCTTTGGCAGCGATTACAGCCTTAAGTCTTCTTGGGTATGATTCTACAAGCTTGGCACACCTGAATTTGGGGAGTTTCTCCCATTCTTCTCTGCAGATCCTCTCAAGCTCTGTCATGTTGGATGGGGAGCGTCGCTGCACAGCTATTTTCAGGTCTCCAGAGATCTTCAACCGGGTTCAAGTCCGGGCACTGGCTGGGCCACTCAAGGACATTCCGAGACTTGTCCGGAAGCCACTACTGCATTGTCATGGCTGTGTGCTTAGAGTCGTTGTCCTGTTGGAAGGTAAACTTTCACCCCAGTCTGAGGTCCTGAGCGCTCTGGAGCAGGTTTTCATCAAGGATCTCTCTGTACTTTGCCCGTTCATCTTTCCCTCGGTACTGACTAGTCTCCCAGTCCCTGCCGCTGAAAAACATCCCAACAGCATGATGCTGCCATCACCAAGCTTCACCGTAGGGATGGTGCCAGGATTCCTCCAGATGTGACGCTTGGCATTCAGGCCAAAGAGTTCAATCTTGGTTTCATCAGACCAGAGAATCTTGTTTCTCATGGTCTGAGTCCTTTAGGTGCCTTTTGGCAAACTCTTAAGTGGGCTGTCATGTGCCTTTTACTGAGGAGTGGCTTCAGTCTGGCCACTCTACCATAAAGGCCTGATTGGTGGAGTGCTGCAGAGATGGTTGTCCTTCTGGAAGATTCTCCCATCTCCAAAGAGGAACTCTAGAGCTCTGTCAGAGTGACCATCGGGTTCTTGGTCGCCTCCCTGACCAAGGCCCTTCTCCCCCGATTGCTCAGTTTGGCCGGGCGGCCAGCTCTAGGAAGAGTCTTGATGGTTCCAAACTTCTTCCATTTAAGAATGATGGAGGCAATTGTGTTCTTGGGGACCTTCAATGCTGCAGACATTTTTTGGTACCCTTCCCCAGATCTGTGCTTCAACACAATCCTGTCTCGGAGCTCTACGGACAATTCCTTCGACCTCATGGCTTGTTTTTTGCTCTGACATGCACTGTCAACAGGTGTGTGCCTTTCCAAATCATGTCCAATCATTTGAATTTACCACAGGTGAACTCCAATCAAGTTGTAGAAACATCTCAAGGATGATCAATGGAAACAGGATGGACCTGAGCTCAATTTCGAGTCTCATAGCAAAGGGTCTAAATACTTATGTAAATAAGGTATATCTGTTTTTTTATTTGTAATACATTTGCTAAAATTTCTAAAAATCTGTTTTCGCTTTGTCATTATGGAGTAGGTTGATGAGAAACATTTTTATTTAATCCATTTTAGAATAAGGCTGTAATGTAACAAAATGTGGAAAAAGGCAAGGGGTCTGAATACTTTCCGAATGCACTGTATATGTTATTGCATTGAAGTAAGCTTGTTGCTTTTTGGTTTTGCTGTGAACAGTAAAACTACAACTGTAGGTTAGTACCACAAGTTAAAGTCTGACAGCTTACAGTAAATACACTATGCTTCTGCCCCTCACCTATTCCATTAAGTACTTGGTGACTTTTATCTATACCAAAATACTGTGAAAAACCCAGTGTTACCCTGTGCCATCTCTAACCCCCAGGTGGTACCCCCTGCCCAGCCTCAGTGGGGGGAGAGGGGGTACAGGGGCTCCTTCCTCTTCCGTCTCTGGCAGCATGGCCGCTGGACAGAGGTAACCGTTGACGACCGGCTGCCCTGCCTCGGCGGCAAGCTCTGCTTCTCGCGCTGCCAGTCCCCCACTGCTTTCTGGGTAGCTCTGCTGGAGAAGGCCTATGCCAAGTGAGTGACAGGTGGAAGGTTGAAAGTGACCTTCCACCTGTTTCTGCATCTAGTCATTAATATTGTGTCCTAATATTCTATGCTATTCCAATCACATACCATACCATACCATTCCATACCATACAATACAATAGTTAGGTTTTGTGACATTCTCTGACCCCCCCCCCCCCATGTTGTCTCTTGTCCCTACTCCTCCCCCAGGCTGCAGGGGTCGTATGAGCACCTATGGGCGGGGCAGGTCTCTGAGGCCCTGGTAGACCTGACAGGGGGGCTGGCGGAGCGCTGGAGCCTGGGGGATGGTGGGACGGAGGAGGACCAGGGTCGGGGGTCATCTGACAGTGACTGGGTCAGGAGGAGGAGGCTGGATCTGGACCTGCTGCATGCGGTCAGAGAGGGCTGTTTAGTCAGCTGCTCTGTACACAGCGCCCCCGGAGGTGAGGAGGACAAATGATTTGTCTGGGAATATTTGGCTGTTTTCACATTTTAAACACAAAAATAGCTCTGGGCTGTGCAGGCCATTGTTATCCAATGGAGAGGGAATGCAGTTTTCTTAGAATCTTACTGAAAGCCTTCCATTGAAATCTTGTGACTAACCTTTCAAGGTAAGGTACTGGCATACCCCCAAGTCTGCTAATGGGCCAGTTGCTAAAATATTGTTTAGGGCTATATTTACCCTAACTGCCCCCTTACCCCCTAGGTGCCAGTGAGTTGTGGCATGCCCTGAGTGTGATGGAGTGGGTGGACGTGAGGACGGTGGAAGGGGTAGGAGTACGTCTAATCAGGATCAGAAACCCCTGGGGCAGACGCTGCTGGGAGGGAGCATGGAGAGAGAGGTAGGGGGTGTGTGTATGTTAGAGCTCTGCTACCTGACCCGAGCCCGATGGGCCCCGGTTAGGGCCGGTAGGGCCTGTTTTTTCATCCATAACTAGGGTACGGGTAGGGCTCGGGTATCACTACATTTATCATTAACATTTCGAAGCTGAGCCATTTGCTTGTGCTCTGCTGCACAGTACATATGATGGTGTCAGAGGTTTTTCAACCTTGTCAAATTAAAGACTAGAACATTGTTCGAGTCCACAGGAGAGATTATTTTGCAGAAAATAATAATGTTCCTTGAGTTTTTCCTTGAGTTTAGAGTGACAAAATGTAGCTAGCTTACTGCTAACTGCTTTCAGTTTCGTCATTGAGCAGGACAGCAGTGTTGCCAACAATTTTTCAGTGAGACCGCTATTGGCTCCTTGATTTGTCGCTAAAAGTTGCTAGATTACGTTTTGCCGTTGCTGCGACGATGTCACAGCACCAATTTGCCTTGCTGCGGCACAGCTGCGGTCCCCGACGTAGCGTTTTCGCCCCGTCTCCCATCAGACACGCCTCCCCTTGTGCTTTTCTGCCTGTGTGTTCGCCATTGCTATGGCTTCTGTTGCATAGACAGCTTCTCCCACTCTTGTTTGCGGCAGAATTGAGTGGAAAAAGTCGCTAAATCCTATCAAAACCATAGAAAACCTTGGTGTCAAAACTCCCCAAAGGCAGCCTGATAAGTTGCTGAATTTGTCACTAGAATCTTTTACCAATAAAAGTCACTGGAGGGGTCTGAAAAAATGAACTAAATATAATGACAAAGGCGCTAAGTTGGCAACACTGCAGAACAGCAAGAAGAGCAGAGCCGTGCACACTGCGCAGGGAGCGAGGGACAGACAGACGAGCAGCTAATGGGTACTAATAAAGTTATTTCTGATTTCGGCAGGGCTCGGCCTTAAATTTGGCAGAAGCAGTCGGGCCTGGGTAGGGCCTGAACGCCGCAGGCATGGGTAGGGCTTGAAATTCATGCCAGTGTAGGGCTTGCGGGTGTGTGTGTGTGCGTTCTTTTGTGTCATTTTGAGCCTGGCTCCATCTATAATTATTTTCTTAAGAACCTTTGTCTCAGTAATAAACTGGCCACTCTCGCCTGGCAGTGGAGAAGGCTGGAACTCTCTGGACCCGACCTGTACTCTGAACCTGCTGGGCCGGGCCCAGGAGGCCGAGTTCTGGGTGGACGAGACTGAATTCCTGTTGCAGTTTGATGATGTCACAGTGTGGTATCCCATCAATGAGGAGGGACACCTGCAGAGCATCTATTCTGGTATACTCACTCAATACTTCGTCGTTATACAAGCATTAGACAACGTTTAATAGTTTTGAATGTATGAGAAAGCCTGACAATCTTTGGTTTGGGGGTGAAATATCTCTTTATAAAAGGAAAGCTAAGCAAAGCCAGTGTTGTGATTGTGTAATTGACAGCCCCTATCTGTCCAATAGGAGAGCTGCTGACTCACAGCCACCAGACGGGCGATCGCTGGGTCAAAGGTCACTCAGCAGGTGGTTGCCGTAACAACAGTAGCTATGGCAGCAATCCTCAGTTCTGGCTGCAGGTGTTTGAGAGGGGAGAGGTGCTTGTGTCTCTGCTACAGCACAGAAGGTATAGCAGGAACACAGGACGCCACTACACACAGTCACCAGAGGAGGGCAGCAGCACCACACAACACCAGCACTACCAGGCCATCGCCTTGCACATGTGGAAGGTTGGTACTGTACTCTAGCCTTGTTGCTGGTAGATGTTAAGGTAAGAACGTGTGTGTGTTTGTCTGGCTTTTAATTGTTTAATCTTTGTGTGTGTGTGTACATGCATGCGATTTGTGCGTCTGTCTGTCTGTCTGTCTGTCTGTCAATCCCCAGGTAGAGAATAAGCGTTTGAACCTGTCTGGGACTCTGAACAGCCCTCCCTGTGCCTCCACACACTGCCACGCCTACGAGCGTGAGGTGGTGCTACACACACACCTGGACCCTGGCTTCCACCTGCTCATCCCCAGTACCTTCCTCCAGGGGGGCGAGGGGAGCTTCCTGCTCAGGGTCTTCTCCTCTTCCCCCACCTCACTCAGGTCAGTGGGACTAACATTTACATTGTAGTCATTTAGCAGAAGACTGTGACCATAAAGAGATAGGTCAAAAAGGGAGCTAGGACCAAATACGGATAGGATAAATCAAAGTTTATCAGAAGTTTTGCTTTTCATACATCAAAAGTGGTTTATATATCATGCTATTTGTTTTGTAGATCATGTTATGTCTTACAAGTCTAGGAAACTGGACTTTCAAATTGAATCTATATGTTCCCCCATCCTCCTGCAGTGCTGTGAAGACCCCAGGGCCCTCTTTGCCGTTGGTAACAGAGGGGGAGTGGGAGACAATCTACTTACGGGGTGCATGGGTCACCGGGTCATCGGCCGGGGGGAGTAGGAACTTCCTGTCTCACTGGCAGAATCCCAGGTTCCCGGTCACCATGGGCGACAACTTAGCGGGGTCAACAGGGGTCAATGTTAGGGTCACCCTCCACCAGAACTGCCCTGACACTGACCTCCAGGCCATCGGCTTTCACCTGTACAAGGTGAGCTGGGTCATATTCATTAGGGCATACTCTATCAGAACGTTTTGCAATGAAAAAACTAAAGTCCAAGTAGTCACTCCTTGTTTTAGTCCATTTTCTTCTGTTTGGTGCCTAATAAAATATGACCCTGTTTATTAACGGTATGTGGTTAGCCTATCTAAAAGGTGTCCTTAATGTAGAATCTATGGTTTAGCCTGTTGATATGTTGTTTTAATCCTCCTTTCAAATCTGTCTTTATGAAGAGGATTATGTTGTGACTAGTTACATGTGAATCTCTCTGTGTATCCAGGCTCCGGAGGGACAGGGGAAGGCCGAGTCGACAGTACCCAGGGAGGAGGAACCGGTGGCCAGCTGCATTCCTCACTGCTACACCCAGGCTGTCAGTCTGGCCTGCTGCCTTCCTCCAGGGGCATACGTCATAGTGCCCTCCACCTACCATCCTGATTCCCCAGGCCAGTTCACCCTCACTGTGGCTCGCAAAATACACAGGTAGACCTGGTTCCATTCCACTCCCTATCCACTTAACACCTTCTCCTAGTCCCTATGCCCTTAGAAGGAGGAAGGACTGTGGTTAGGAAAAGCACAGTGATTGTGTACATTTTTGTAAAAAATATTTTGGGGAATTGAACCCACGACCTGAACACAGGACCACAATGATGGTGTGTTGTACTTGTGTTTCAGGAGAGTGGTGAAGAGTCAGGAAAGTCTGGGGAGAGCCATTCAAGAGGTGAGTGAGTGTTGGGCTATGTGTACAAGACCTATGCTTTGCAACAAACACACTTCCTAAACAAATGTAGTGTACCATAGTGCACTATCACTTGAAATGTCAACTATGTTGAATATGGTCAACAGGTGGCAGTATTTAATCAATGTCTGTTAGTAGTGTGCGGGTCAGCTGTGTGTTCCCCGCACCTGTCCACAATTGCTAATAACCCATCCGCAACCGCCCGACTATATGTGATAAAGTGAACATCTGAGGCCCGCACCCAACCCTAAGCCGCTAATATAGAAAATGTGCTATAGGCTACAGTCAGAGACGGCGGAGCGATGTTTTGACAGGGGGTGCAGGATTTTCTTTTGCCTGATTTTAAATGTTTCTGCTTTTAATTTAATTTAGGTAGGCTATTTGTTATTCAACTTGTCTAATGAAATAATATAGAAGACTAAATAGACCCTTGCTCACCAGAATAATCGATAGAATCTAGTTGACATCGGTAAAATTCTCTGTCATCTCTGCTTCTTTCGCAGAGCAAATACGTTTTCTGTGCAAAATGTCCAAATGACATCAGTTTGACCGTTTGTAGGGAAATAGAAAGCTGTGAAAACAACCCAACATGTTTCTGGTGAGATTTCAGTTCGGCTTGGATGCATATTTTATGTGGTTGAAATACTATCAGCTTTTATGATGCTGATAAAGTTAGCACCTCTACAGAGGGTATCTAACTGCGCATTCACATTCTCTCAAGATGCTGAAAGAAATAAATCATATTTCTCCACTCCTGTTCCCGAGTCAAAATGTTGCTGCAAGAAATGCTTAATTCTGTAGGAGTTAATATTAAGGCTATGTGAGAGGTTATAGACCTACAGTCAGTGTCCAGATTTCAGTTTCCATTTAACCCATTTGAACAGTAGGCTATAGTTCCCTTGATGTGCCATAGGCCTATTTGAAGTCACCATCTTGTGACTGTCGAATTTGTATATCGCTTCACAATCATCAAACATAACAGCCGGCACTGCTATCATCCTCTTTTACCATATCACCAAATATTTCCCAAACATAAGTTTTTTGGCCTCCCTTCTCTTTATTTTCAACTCTCCATTTTGCAGATTTTCTCTTATTGAATTAAACTAGGACATTATCCTTTTTGCCTCCGTGGGTGGGTGACGTTAACTTTTTCTGCCCGTTCCCAAAAGCATTTGGCGATTGGCGTGTAGGCTATTTTGCGAGTGTGCAGTTAGGCCCTAAAGCTTAGGCTTACATAATCATGCCAGATAGCCTCAAATAATGAAAGAAAAACCTCAATGTAGCGTATAGATATAAATTGCACAAGAATTATACATGTATGGATTTTTTAAGGTCTCTCTCTCTCTCTCTCTCTCTCTGGCGACAGGTCTCTCACATATCTGTGATGCGTAGTTAGCTCTGGGAGCTGTGCTGCCGCTCTGCTGACGTGAGCTCACATCCCTTCGGCCTTGGCCACAGATGAAGGAGCGGGTCTCCCCCCTCTACCCATGCCGAACACTGTGTGTGTTTGTGTGCGCACGCACGGCCCGGGCTCAGGGCCTTTATCCCCAGCCTGGCGAGGCTCAGGGAGCCGATCGGCATCTCTCCTTTCTGTCTCTCTCTCTCCCTTTCTCTCTCTCCCGGCTGCGATTAGCACATCAGAGGTTGTCGTTGGGCCGGGCACTAATGGGAGCTGACGGGGCTGGCCGGTGTAAACAAACAGTCGCCATTGAAGAGGCCCGCTCGCTATGCTCACTCGCTGGCCCGTCGGCCCGGGACAAAGGGCCCACTCATGGAGCTCCTTGCTGGGGCCGAGAGGGCAGGAGCAAGGGGTCGGACCTCACCACACTGCAGTGCACCCACCCAGCCTCAGACCCAAACCCCAGGGCTGCCTGTGACTGAACTTTGCCTTCATCCATGCCCCCAGAGTAGGTAGAAGTTTCCCCTAACCATTGATATTTTCTCATCCCCTGAATGTTTGAGCTTAGAATGTGATTGTAAATCTGTGGCTAAGGACAGCTTCAACATCAAGCCCTTGCCCTCAGACCCAAAACAGCCTAGCCCCTTTCCCCCTCACTCCACAACCCCCACACCTGGGACTCTGCTGCAGCCCCACCTCCCCGTCCCTATCACCCTCAGACCCTTAGAACTGGACCCGACCCGGACCGTTGTTTGAAGTGGCTGCATGATGAACAGATGAGGCGGGGAAGGAAAAGGGGGAAGTACGAGCGATATGGAGCGAGGCGGCACTACTTAGGCAACAGATTCTTTGGAAGAAGCCGCCAGTGTTTTGGCTCTGCACGCAGTGGCTGAGAAGGCAGGGTGTGTGTGTTTGTTTTTGTTTGTGTGTTGCTGGTGGGGTAACTTGGGTACCACTGCCACTCCAACTGTTGACTGATGACAATGGTTTTATTATCTGAGAGTATTACTGTGTTATTGTCCTTTTGTTTTCAGTGTGTTTGTGTGTTTAATTATACAGAAGATGCAGGTGCTGATGGAACTATAATAAAGTTGTTTCCTGCAAACCACACTTTAGCTGTGACCATCATGATTTAACTCATGATTCATTTTCACTGTCACAATCTTTTGTGTTATTTAATGATGATTTGTGGACCATATCAAAATACTACACAATGTTTTGCACACAAAATGTTGAGGATCACAATAACTATTCTATATACTCTAATGGCCACAGATGAGGGACAGCACTTTTTCTGCAACACACAAACTTTATTCTGGTACTGTAGGGCTATCTGCTCATTAATCTGTAAGCAATATGCATTCTGGGGCACGTCAACATCGCACGATACTGTAGCCTACGCGCGCATCCCCCGTTTCGGTCGTGCGCGCCTCCGTTGCTGCGGAATTCAGGGAGCTGTGGTCGGACTCTGAAGACTCCTACCCCACCTAGAGAATAATGAACAACAAATTTGACGCGTGAGTAATCAAAGCTATTTTGAATATTTCGCGGACAATGGGCGCTCCGCTGTGAATGCAAATTCGTTGAGCAATTAGGCCTATGCCTTGCTCGTGGGTGGCTTGGAGAAAAAGAGGTGTGTCCGATCTGGTCTGCATGCCTTGCAGGGACTGGGGGACACACGAGTGCTTGTCATGTCCCATCGTAGTTACGCATTTCACATAATAAGATTCATAGTGACAACGAATCAATCGTTTTATTAGGGAATGCTTGCCCCTTCTTGCGATTGCCCTTTTAGCGTCGAGGCCCCACGGGCCGTGGCTGAATCCCCGACATGCAAGTGGTTGAAAGGCAGGGGCAGGTGCGCGCAGAGTCGGCTAAAACTATCCCCCATGCCCCTGATCACATTTAGTTATTTTGAGGAGGGACAGATGGAGAAAGGTTTTTATTTAGCAAATGATAATACTCTATTCAGCTTGGAAACGTTGACAGCGACAAGCAACGCTGTGTTATGTGTAGATTCTAACCCCGGTGCAACCACTGTTGCAAAGTGGCCACCGGCGAGGCTACAATGTTGCACTGGCGGGTGCATGCTTATAAATGTCAACACTGCACATTCGACCACATTGCTAGTGAGAGATGTTGACAAGACACTGTTACTATACACAAATACCAAGCAATGAAAAGCCAATCACTTTCAGCTGACAGAACTGTGAACCATAGTATTCACATTTATACAGTGATTATTACAATGTAATAACTTAATGCATGTACACTGAACAAAAATATAAGTGCAACATGCAACAATTTCAAAGATTTTACTGAGTTAGAGTTCAGATAAGGAAATGTAAATTGAAATAAATTCATTAGGCCCTAATCTATGGATTTAACATGACTGGGAATACAGATGTGCATCTGTTGGTCACAGATACTTCTCACAGATACCTTTAAAAAAAAAGTAGGGGTGTGGATGAGAACCAGTCAGTATCTGGTGTAACCACCATTTGCCTCATGCAGCGCGACACCTCTCCTTCACATAGAGTTGATCGGGCTATTGATTGTGGCATGTGGAATGTTGTCCCACTCCTCTTCAATGACTGTGAGAAGTTGCTGAATATTGGTGGGAACTGGAACACGCTGTCGTACACGTCGATCCAGAGAATCCCAAACATGCTCAATGAGTGACATGTCAGGTGAGTATGTAGGCCATAGAAGAACTGGGACATTTTCAGCTTCCAGGAGTTGTGTACAGATCTTTGTGACATGAGGTGATGGCGGCGGATGCATGGCACGACAATGGGCCTCAGGATCTCATCACGGTATCTCTGTGCATTCAAATTGCCATCGATAAAATGCAATTGTGTTCGTTGTCCGTAGCTTAAGCCTGCCCATAGCATAACCCCACCTCCACCATGGGTCACACGTTGACATCAGCAAACCGCTCGCCCACACGACACCATACATGCTGTCTGCCATCTGCCTGGTAAAGTTGAAACAGGGATTCATCCGTGAAGACACACTTCTCCAGCGTGCCAGTGGCCATCGAAGGTGAGCATTTTCCCACAGAAGTCGGTTACGACGCCGAACTGCAATCAGGTCAAGACCCTGGTGAGGACAATGAGCACGCAGATGAGCTTCCCTGAGATGGTTTCTGACAGTTTATGTAGAAATTATTCAGTTGTGCAAACCCACAGTTTCATCAGCTGTCCGGGTGGCTCGCAGGTGAAGAAGCCGGATGTGGATGTCTTGGGCTGGCGCGGTTACACGTGGTCTGCAGTTGTGAGGCTGGTTGGACGTACTGCCACATTTTCTAAAATGACATTATCGTAGAGAAATTAACCTTAAATTATCTGGCAACAGCTCTGGTGGACATTCCTGCAGTCAGCATGCCCATTGCACGCTCCCTCAGAACTTGAGACATCTGTGGCATTGTATTGCGTGTATTGCGTCCCCAGCACAAGGTGCACATGTGTAATTATCATGCTGTTTAATCAGCTTCTTGATATGCCACACCTGTTAGGTGGATGGATTATCTTGGCAAAGGAGAAATGCTCAATAACAGGGATGTAAACAAATATGTGCATACATTTTTAGAGAAATAAGCTTTTTATGTGTATGGAAAATGTCTGGGATCTTTTATTTCAGCTCATGAAACATGGGACCATCACTTTACATGTTGCATTTATATTTTTGTTCAGTGTAGTAACTAATATATTACAATAACCTAGTTAGATAAGACTATTCAAAGTGTATGCTCAACAAGGACCTTCATTGTTGTAAGTAATTACTGTTCAATATCATACTTTGCTTATGTGTATGAGTACAGAATTTGTGTGGATGATAGATTAGTCTTGTCATGATGTCCCATTGTATTTTTGACAAGGTTCTGTACAGTATCTTATGGTCTTGTTCTCCTCACTGACTAGATATCCCCTTTCCCTTTCCTCTCGTCTATATATTCTGTCTATGCTGTTTATCCTCTATATATACTGTCTGTATACTGTTTATCCTCTATATATTTAGTCTGCATTCAGTTTATTATCTCACCAGGTCAAATTCCTGTTGTATGTAAATGCACCTGGCGAATAAAGGAAATTCTGATTTTGATTCTGTGTGTTCAGTCTGAAAGATGATGACAGTGGGGACCACGACCAGGATCAAGGCTCACAGAAAGACTGTGAGAAGGAAAAAAATGACAATGACGAGGACAATGATCAGAACATTGCCAAGAAGGTGTGTGTGTCGCTCAAATATAATGCTACAGTATGTATCGTTTGTTATGCTTTCTAAATTAGATCCATTATAGATGTGTTGGCACAGTTTGTTAGAGCCAGGGCCAGACTACTGCATTTGGGGCCCCGGGGCACCACCCCACAACCCAAAAAAGAAAATATATATATGTGACCGACCTGTCTCGAAAAGGTCTTATGTAGCAAAATTAGAAATTGTGTTTTTAACATTGGATAAAAGTAGAGATTCAGAACTCGAAATTGGTATATCGTACACTACAGTTGAGGAACAATGGGAAAGTAATTCTGCTTTGAAAATTGATTAACTTGTAACCCCACTTTTGAGAAAATGGCACTTGAATGTTTTGGTACACCTACAGGAGAGCTCTTCTATGTCTACACCCATTCACCATCGTTCACACCCTCTTAAGCCTTAACCCCACCCATCTCTTTAAGGATTCACATGTGAGGCCATGTGCTAAACAGAGTGAGTACGGTAGTGGACTAAACAACCAAAGATTTCAAGACTGAAGGTTGGTTTATACTACGTCTATCGACATGCCTGTAGACAGTTGTCGCAGTGACATCATGAATATTCTATTGTCGTCCGACATCAAACTTGTCGTTGTCGTTATGAAAAAGTATAAACACAAAAACGACAGGCTGCATGACATCAGCAGCCTGGTGATCCAAAATAGCATAACTTGTGTATTTTAACACCAATAAACCCATCCGTTTAAAAATGAATTTAGTATATGTCAATCTAGCAAACCAGACAACTAAAAGCAACTTTGTAAACAATGTTTTGGTTAGTTTCTAGCTTGTTAGCTAGCTAACGTTAACCATATCATATAGCTGACAACATCTTAGCTTGAGCTAATTAGTATTAGTTATTACAGGAAAATAAACTCACAACAAGATCATTATTTACAAGTTAATGGCGAGCGAATTACAGAAAATAGCTTACAGTTGAGTGTGACAAAATAAAAGCAGAGCATTCTACCGGAGAATTTTAGAACATGGACACTGTCTCGTTGGCCTATCGTTATATCCTAATTTGACTTTGGTGCAGGTCATGTTTTTCTTCACATTACCGTCTCTGGTTAACACTATATCATTATATCAAATAAAATCAAAGTTTATTTGTAACATGCACAGGATACAGTAGGTGTAAACGGTACAGTGAAATGGTTACTTGCATAGTGGAGTCTTTTGTTTAGACATGTAGCTAGCTAGCTAGCTAAACAATTAACCATAATCCCAACTCATAACATTACTACCCTGCATGAATCTGCTGGTAGCTAAAGCTAACCAACTAGCTAGGTTCAATGTTAGCTAGCTAGCTAACATTAGGCTGTAACTAGTAATGCAAATGGTTCTGAGATACGAATAATATTACTACAGAGATCATACACGTAACGTTAGCTAGCGAGCCAGCCAGCTAACGTTAGCTAGCTAGCTAGCTAGCTAGCTAACAGTACGCTTTAACTTGCAATGAAAACAACTTTCTGACAAAATTAGAAACGTATAATATCTGAAAATGTAGCTAGCTAGACTCTCTTACCTGTATACATGGATGAACCCTTCTCCCTCTCTGTCACGGATTCCATGGTTGCCCTTAGTTTGAAGATGTAATCCGGAGACAAGTGTTTTATACAACAGCATTCTTCTTTGTGTTCTCTTTTCGATTCCCTCCGCATTATTTGCAATCAAACGGCAGAATGTTCTCCATCTCCTTAGCTATCATACTCTGCTTCCACCGGGAATTCCACTGATTTCAAAACTCTGTCCTCCAGAAAGTGGAGAGCATTAGCAACACTTATGCAGTTCTTCATGATATTTTTCAAAAAAGCTGCGTTAGAAATGATTACCTACACATAGTGAGCAGCTCATGTTATAGACAGAAGCGTGCTACATGGCAGACAAATCCGAACTCATCTCTCGGCATCTCCAGCCTATCCATTATCTCAGCCAATCATGGCGGGAAGGTTCCTGTCTTTTTCTGTGGCTAAACCAACTAGGCTCGTAATTTAACAATTTTAATCGTATTTACAGATGGCATACACGTTTGTTATTAAGGCCCATGAAAGTTCACATGTTCCAGAAGGCATTTCTGCCAAAAAACTCATTTTTATAAAAAATAAATGTTTTATGTTCGAATGCCTCTCCTGTGAAGTAGTGACGCTGTGAAACTAGTCACATATTTTTTATTTTTTTGAAAACAGCTAACTTCCTCTATTTCAACACATTTTGCCATGGGGCAGAGAGAAAAATGTGCAGTTTTAAAATGCTATTCTACACATTTTGTCATGAGGCTGACAGAAAATATTGCATTTTTAAAGCTAATTTCCTGCAATTCTACACATTTTGCCATGAAGCTGAGAGAAAATGTTACAGTTTTAAAGCAAATTTCCTGCAATTCAACACATTTTGCCATTGCTTATGACCCTGGAGGTTGGGGGCCCCAGTGCACGTGCCCTTTAGGTAATCTGGCCCTGGATGGAGCACAATGTTTATAACTGAACTTCAAGCTTTATGAGTACAATTCCTGCCTCATATAGTGTACTGAATAGAGGAGTTACCGTGCCTTCAGAAAATGTTCATACCCCTTGACTTATTCCACATTTTGTTGTGTTACAGCCTGAATTCCAAATGGATTAAATATATTTTTTCTCTCACCCATCTACACACAATACCCCATAATGACAAAGTGAAAACATGTTTTTAGAAATTTTAGCAAATTTATTGAAAATGAAATACAGAAATATCTAATTTACATAAGTATTCACACCCTTGAGTCAATACTTTGTAGAAACACCTTTGGCAGTGATTACAATTGTGAGTCTTTCTGGGTAAGTCTCTAAGAGCATTCCACACCTGGATTGTGCAACATTTGCCCATTATTATTTTCAAAATTCTTCAAACTCTGTTAAATTGGTTGTTGATCATTGCTAAACAACCATTTTCCGGTGTTGCCAAAGATTTTCAAGTAGATTTAAGTCAAAACTGTAACTTGGAACATTCGCTGTCTTCTTGGTAAGCAACTCCAGTGTAGATTTGGCCTTGTGTTTTAGGTTATTGTCCTGCTGAAAGGTGAATTCATCTCCCAGTGTCTGGTGGAAAGCAGACTGAACAAGGTTTTACTCTAGGATTTTGCCTGTGCTTAGCTCCATTCCGTTTATTTATTATCCTGAAAAACTCCACAAGCATACCCATAACATGATGCAGCCCCCACTATGCTTGAAAATATGGAGAGTGGTACTCAGTAATGTGTTGTATTGTATTTGCCCCAAACATAACACTTTGTATTCCGGAGAAAAAGTTAACTGCTTTGCCACATTTTTTGCAAGATGCCTTTAGTGCCTTGTTGCAAACAGAATGCATGTTTTGGAATATTTTTATTCTGTACATGCTTCCTTCTTTTCACTCTGTCAATTAGGTTAGGTATTGTGGAGTGACTACAATGTTGTTGATCCGTTCTCAGTTTTCTCATATCACAGCCATTAAACTCTGTAACTGTTTTAAAGTCACCATTGGCCTCATGGTGAAATCCCTGAGTGGTTTCCTTCCTCTCCGGCAACTGAGTTAGGAAGGACGCCAGTATCTTTGTAGTGACTGGGTGTATTGATACACCATCCAAAGTGTAATTAATAACTTCACCATGCACAAAGGGATATTCAATGTCTGTTTGTTTTTTACCCATCTACCAATAGGTGCCCTTCTTTGCAAGGCATTTATAAACCTCCCTGGTCTTTGTGGTTGAATCTATGTTTGAAATTCACTGCTCGACTGAGGGACCTTACAGATAATTGTATGTGTGGGGTACAGAGATTAGGTAGTCATAAAAATATTATGTTTAACACTATTATTGCACAGAGTTAATCCATGCAACTTATTATGTGACTTGTTAAGCACATTTTTACTCCTGAACTGATTTAGGCATGCCATAACAAAGGGGTTTAATACTTATTGACTCAAGACATATCAGCTTTTCATTTTTTATTAATTAGCAAAAATTTCGAAAAAATATAATTCCACTTTGACATAATGGGATATTGTGTGTAGGCCAGTGATAAAAAATATACATTTAATACATTTTTTATTCAGGCTGTAACACAACAAAATATGGAAAAAGTCAAGGGGTGTGAATACTTTCTGAAGGCACTGTAAGTGTGAATCACTTTAGGATAAAAGTGCCTGCTAAATGACCATATCATATCATGTCTGTCTCTGCTCTGTTGGTCAGATTGCAGTTCCAGGGGTAGGAGAGCACCCCCTCCAGTATAACTACTCCTTCTGGTACTCCAGACGCACCCCCGGCCGGCCTGCCAGCACCCAGAGCTACGAATCCAACATCAAACAGATCGGCAGCTTCGCCTCGGTCAGTCCCTATTGGGAACCATTGTTCTTTGCCTTTCACCTTTGCAGGTTCTAGACTCATAAATAGGTTCTAGACTCTGCTGATCTAGTTTAGTATGGTTCTAGACTAAATCTGTCCTCTGGTCCACCAGGTGGAGCAGTTCTGGCGTTTCTACAGTCACATGATCCGTCCGGGCGACCTGACGGGCCACAGCGACTTCCACCTTTTCAAGGAAGGTATCAAACCCATGTGGGAGGTGGGTAGCAAAGATGGTGGATAAATGAAGATAGTTCACTCAGGCCGTTTACCATTGAAAAAAATGGTCAGTTCCTGTCTACTTAAGGGGGTAGCTCTCCCATAGACACAAATGCAATAGCAGCTAGGTCTTGTCTACTTAGTTCATTGACTTTCATTGAAACAGAAAAAAATGGGGGAGTGGGATGTCTCGCTTCCTGTATTCTTTGGATCTATCCTTACCTTAATGAGCTCACTCAACTAACCCTAGATCACTGTCTTGACCTGTTCATAGTGTTATACCATTACCAGGGTTGTATTCATCAGGCAGCAAACATTGCAAAATGTTTTGTTTCGGTGTGCCCTAATGACTATGACCCATTTGTTTCCTGCTTAATGCCCATGTCTTTTTTTCTCTCTGTGTCTCTCTAGGACGATGCTAATAAGCTAGGAGGGAAGTGGATCATCCGGCTGAGGAAGGGCCTGGCGTCTCGTTGCTGGGAGAACCTGATTCTGGCCATGCTGGGGGAACAGTTCATGGTGGGGGAGGAGATCTGTGGCGCTGTGGTGTCTGTACGCTTCCAGGTACACACATACATAGAGACAGACGCGCAAGCGCAAACACACACACAGGCACGCATGCGCACACACACACACACACACGGCTAAACACTCACTCACTCACTCACTCACTCACTCACTCACTCACTCACTCACTCACTCACTCACTCACTCACTCACTCACTCACTCACTCACTCACTCACTCACTGTTCCAGTGTCTATTGTTGCCAACACCAGGCTTCCCTCATGTCTTTCCTCCAGGAGGACATCATCTCCATCTGGAACAAGACAGCCAGTGACCAGGCCACCATTACCCGGATCAGAGACACTCTACGTAGGGTCCTCAACCTACCCCCCAACACCATCATGGAGTACAAGACACACACCGACAGCATCAAGTAAATACACACACACAAACACTGAGCTAATTCCTGAGCTACTAGGCTTTAGCTCAGTAGGCTAACACAGTCTGTGATACCTGGGGGGTTCTGTCTGTTCTCAGGGCCTGGGAGGACTTCCATGGTCTGGTGAACGCTGTTGGTGGTCGCTAGTCTCTAAAGCTTTGAGTTTCTGCCAAGGGTAGGAGCTGCTATGTCTTAATTCATATTCCTACATGCACACACTGGCCTTATGTTCTCACTTCTGTTGTGTCTCTGTGCATGGAAATCATGGCACTAGTAATCATCAGTACTATTATCAGTACTACTGTATTACTACGCTAGTAGCCAATTATAGGAACTGAGTGTTTCAATAGCCTAACTGTTTATGTTTGTCTCTCTCATATCTCTAGATTTGTGTGTGGTGTCCGGAGGAATAATACCTTTTTAAGGATCAGTACTGTTTTACATGGCGACAGCGAGAGAGATAGAGGGAGCGAAAGAGAGCGAGATAAAGAGATGGAGGACAGTGGCACAAAGAGCATTCCTTCCTTTCTATGGCTCATGGAACCCATTCGAACTTAACTGAAAAAGAAAATCCACTGTACGGAACACGGAACCAAGCTGTCGGTTGGTTGGGGCTTTTTATCTGCCTGTTAGTCAGAGATGAATGAAACCTCAGTGGATGTATTTTTTCTCCAAGCTACACTGTCCCTGATCTGCCAACAGAGGGAGACTGTGCGACAAGCATTTGGTGATTTGGCCAATGACTGTTGACAGAAGAATCTTCTAACAGAATATTAAATGTTAAAACCAAACCCTTGCTATAAATAGGTATATACAGTATATTCATCATTGTGTAGCACAATCACAGTTCCCTCTGGTCGAGTTTTAAATGTACAGCAGAGAAAATGTATCCGTTTTTTTTTTAACTCTGAAACTAAACAGGGTTGCAGGTGGAAGTTATTTTATTATAGTGCAGTATTTTAACTACAATGCCTCTAGTCATTTAAACTAGAACTATTATTGCGTACAAAAATATATTTCTAGAAAAAAACTATGTCCTTTTGAGAAATCTATTTACTTAACGAGAATCAAGAACTTCTTTACCTTTGACCAGGATGTTTTCAACCCAAAGGATGGGGACCATCCTAAAGGGGGACTGCGGGTAACGTGAAACGGCCTCTTTAGAATGGACTACCTAGCTGCCTATATCACTGTGCCTGGCCTCGAGCCTGACCCAACCCAGATTAAACATTCAAAATGCCTTTCAAGTTCCCACAGTGAAGATGGACAAAACATTACAACTTGAACAACACTGTAATAATGTTGTAACAATGTTGTAACAATGTTATCTGTGACATAACATCATCTCTCCAGTGTTGGTGGTAGCCTGGGTGCCAGTCTGTTTCTGCTCTCTTGCCAACTCCTTATGGAATTGACATGCAAAACAGTTTGGCTTGACAAACAGATCTGGGACCAGGCTAGAATGGTGGCCCTGCTGTGATATTTCCCCCAGGTAGAAGGAGTCCCTGAACACTGACCTGGAATCAGCTCATCTGACCCCCTCACCATTTAGTGCTACAGAACAGAAACTGGTCCTAGGTCAGAGCTTGGTGCTCCTTCTATCTCCTCCCTGTTGATATACTGCCTAGGATTGGGTGGGTGGTGCTGGAAAAAGGGTGTCTGTCAAAACGAGGAAAGTACTGTCTGATGGATATACACCTGATGGATTATAGCAATAAATGTTGATTATGCATCTGCTGCTAACCAATGGCTTCAGTGTTCTATTCTGTGATGTCACCGGTGGAAACATGTATCTTTCCAAACAAAGAAAGCATGAACTGATTGTCAGTCAGTCAAATGGTTGTGATGGGAGCATAAGCCAATGCAAGGTATCAATTAAGTTTGATTTAATGTATCTCTTCTACTAGGACAACTAAATGACTTGTGAAAATAATGGAAAGGAGGTCATGATATGCAGACTAGTACATTTCTGGTGTCGCTAACAGTTGCACCCCTCCCCCAAACAACTGTCCATGTGTTCTCTCTCTGACGATGCTGCGGTGTGGCATCGAGCGAAGCTGTGAAACTCGCCGATGATCGTTTGGCCTCTGCAGTTCTCATGGTCCACTTTTGATTACCTCAATTTGCTTATCTCTGATTGACTGGTGCCAGTTCAGCTCATCTCGAAGAACATGTAATTCTAAAGAGAGAGGGAGAGAATGAGAGAGAGATGGGGGTGGAAGGGTCAATGTAGGGAGGACAGAGTTTGCGCACCCAGGTTAGGTTCACATTGTATTCATTGATTCCCACAGTAGCCTATCTGGGGGGGGGGGGGGGGTTGTGGGAGAGTTTCCCTACATGCTTACCAGTAGGAACGTGGCCGCCAGCAGAAGAAGTTTGGTCTGTGATGTCATATCCTGTGGAACTGCAGGATTGAGCGGTTTTAGGAGGAGAGGGTTTTTTGCAGTGTTCTCGAACAGTAGATACTTCTATTTGTTTTGAAGGTAAAGCTATTAAGCCAAGATAAAGCTATATGGCTTAACTCACCCTCTAACCCAAAGTATTCATGATCCATGTTGCATTCTTCGTTAAACCCAGGCCATTTCTTCCATATGGAGCCAATTTTCTCACCGATGGCTGAGACCACCTGATGTTTGACAGAGATAAACATGCATACAGTAGAATGGAAGTGGTGAAACAGACATTTACATTTGCATATGGCATAAATTACCTAATGAAATAATGATTCTGAAATGAATTAAATAATATGATAATCAGCCAAATAACCGACCAATCAAAGTCATACATAATGGGTGGTAATGTCCTGAAATGATAATGACCTGGAATTCTTGGTTAGAGAGGCATCGGCAGGGGCAGCAGGATCCCTGGATTCTTATAGTGGAGGTTCCATCGGAATCACACACTTCCAGGAGAGGGGTGAACATACTCCATCTGTTAACAGGTACAACTGGTGAACATACACACCTCCCTCCATACACACAACCACTCCTGCACCCACTCACAGACGCTGATAAGAGACCAATCCCGGGTGGTGGGTGTTCTTGTTGTTTTGTATTTCCTAGCCTGGGTTGATTGGTTGGTTGGATGATCAAGGTTTCAGCTGGTCAGTTTTCTATTGCATTGCACCACTGAGACCATTGTCCACTTGGTGTCATAAGAGGTCTACCAGGGTGACCCCTCCAGACTGTAGAATAGAGATACAACACAGATCTAATTTAAACTTCTACTTTGCTCTGAGCTCTGTTAATTGGATACAGTGATTCTGGTGGCCTTGTCTGCAAGCTCTACTAACTAAACACACAAAGGAGACCTCATCTGACCCTGGAGAAAGACTTGGGAGAGAGAGGGTCGGCATTTCAGAGAGAGAGCGAGGGAACGCAAGAGAGAGGTTGGGCGTTTGGTCAAACATAACTAGGCCTACAGTCTTTTCCATATTTTCCACTAAATCAGCCACCATTTTGATTGAGTGGTGTGGAAACGGTGATGTAATGAGGGAAAACAAGAGGCGCAGCCGCCAGACACAAGCTGTTTTTCCCAGTAAGAATAAAGCCACATTCCTCCCCACCCAGGACACCAGCAACATAGGCTAGCCTGGCTGCATCCATCCAGACAGCTGTGCTATGTGCTAACTCCCCCCAGTTTAGCCTCCCTGGAGATTGGGTGGGAGTGGGAAGTGAGGAGAGAGGAGCACCACCCATTCTATTTACAGTCCTGGGTCGTATGCATTAGGCCCAAAAAAGAAGAAACAGTCTGAAATGGAGGGACCATCTGAACATTAAGAAGCACTCTTTTCGTTGTCCGTTGCACAGCGTTTTGATTCTGGAGTGAGTGGGAGTAGGGATAAATGTGAGAAATATTCTGGGAGAGAGGTAGAGGTTGTAGGTTGATTTCAGACTAGACATACCTCTGTTGTATGCTCCCTAAGAGCTGCCTTTGGGGGGTGTAGACCCTAATTTCCATCAAGCAGCAGCCAAGGCAGCACGCGTCCACCCTGAGGGGTCTTTCAAACAGGAAGACCTGGCGGGCCTGGCGGTCAAAACCTTGTAGGGAGCAGGACCGGGCCGGGCCGCAGCACTGCAGACACATACAGGAACTCTCTGAGAAGGAGAGACACAGAGGGCCCAGTCTCAATAACGATATGGTAACTAGAAGAATGTCCATCCTGGATGGGCAATAAAGTTATATTATATTCTATAGATACTATTCTATTCTATGGCCACAGCTCTGTCTGGCTGCAGACACATGCAGGATCTATAAGTGTTATGCCTGGATGTTACTGTTATCACTTTGTACCTTCTACAGCCACAAAGAGCTGCTCACTGCTGTCCACGGTGGCAATGCTGTAGGTCCTGCGGGACACACATTGAGGACCTGGAACACAGCAGCATGACACGACCAGGTCAAAGGGACTATCACTAATATACACATCATACAGTGTATGATAGTATCATTGGGCAAATTGTTAGCAGAAAATCATTCTTTACTCTGATGTAACTGTATATTTCACACATGAAGTTGCACTAACCTTGCAGCTCTGGCCTGGCTGTGATATGTAGTTGGCTGACTGTGTCCAGGAGAGCCAGGCCCTCCTGTCCTGCTGTCTCTGGCCCTCCAGAAGCCCTGGGCCTCACGTGGCCATTCTCCCCTTTACCCCCCGGATCTCCAGGGCCTAGCCCCAGCCGCTGGTCCTCTGAGCCCAGGTCAGGTGGCCCGTGGTGGGGTAGGGAGCCAGGCAAACCCTGGGGATCGGCAGAGGGCCTCCTTCGACTGTGGAAGGCTCTGAAGAGACTCTCGATGTGCTTCTCTCTCTCCAGACGGCCGAAGGGGAGGGGCTGGGCGGTCACTGCCGACATAGTCTGGGACAGGAAGCAGGAAGTAATGACAGGAAGTACTGTTCAAGGATGGGGTTAATTTATAGAGATAGATAGAGGACTCTAGTGCCCAAAAGCCCATTTTAGCATGGGCAGCACCATTGAGGACTTTCACCATTTTTAAGTAGTCAACTGGGTGGGACTTCTAATGGGTTAAGGAAGGATCACATCATTCCATCCGGTTCATCAGGAGGGACCAGCCAATTAATTTATACCTGCTCAAACAACACACTCCATGTGGCAGCATGCACCCTTTCAGTTTCTAATAGAAGTAGTAGAATAGGAAAATTGACTACTTAAAATGGAGATGGTCTCAAGGGTGCTGCCTGTGTGCTCACAGATGCCAAAAAAAGAGTCCTCTATACATTTTACATTTTAGTCATTTAGCAGACGCTCTTATCCAGAGCGACTTACAGTTAGTGAGTGCATACATATTTTATTTTTCATCTAGTGGCACAGCTAGCACTGCGATGCAGTGCCTTAGACCACTGCGCCACTCGGGAGACATATCTCATAGACTCTATCATTCTCTATGGGTCAATTACATTTGAATTCCAGTAAACTCTCAATTCAGGAAGTACACTGAAATTCAAATTCCAGTTGTCTTCCTTCAATGCTCTTCAATTAGGAAATATTGGAATTTGGTTTACTTTCAGAATTGACTGGAATTGAGATGGAATTTACCCCAACCCTGGTACTGTCTGAAGCCAATGACAGGTTCATCAAATGTAATTTATTCGGTTTTAGTTCATGTGTTTAGTTTTAAAGCAGGTGCAGAGTGCTATCTGGGCCATGGGCTCCCATAATTAGCACAATAATAATGGAGCATTCTTGTCTATCACTCACTTTATCACAATAGTAACCCCAATTATCTGCACACTAGATCAGGTTCTCAAACAATCCAAAGGATTAGACCCAAAAATAAACAATAAAAGACAAATGTCTTTAAACATGTGTCTGCCTCTTACTCCGCAGTCGACACATCCCTGGCACCAGAACAATCTCAGCTCACTGGAGACGGAGGGGAAGCAACACAGTGGCCAGCTCCTGGCTATTTCATATTCACATCACAGCATCACTGAAACCACTACATCCATCTCCTATTGAAAACCTGTCACAATCTACAATACCTCTGGTTCAGACACTCAACTCTATGGTAACATACCACTGTTGATTCGTATTTGGTAACACTTTAAGTTGCTCTTTACATTACGTGTTTCTCAAACCTATGACGTTACACCGTAGCTACTCTAGTAACAACATAGGATGAAGGTATTGCTTCTGTTGCTACTAGAGTAATTACAGTCTAACTACACAGGTATACGAGCTGTTTACCTTGTATCTAACCCATGTCTAAAACCTACTGCACATAGTCTGACCCCATGTACTCACAGCAAAGTGTAGCATATTGCACAGTTGTTCCTTTAAGAGTAGTGGTGACACACTCTATTTGAATGCTCTGTGTACTCAGCTCCAGAAGGAACAAGTGTTCAATACTATTCAATGGAGAAACAGCCTCTCTATGTCTGTCTTTCTCCTCACCTGGTAAAGAAAAAACAATTCCTCCATACAACTACATTATTTTCATGATAAGTTACATAACAACAAAGTATGTACAGTATTGGTGGTTTACAATTACTCACTTACTCACAATCTTCAATCTAATTATCCACTTACTTATTTGTCAAGCTCTTACCATCTGAGGTCCGCTCCCTGGCATCTCTTGACTGAAGTTAGTGTCTAGCAGGCAAGCATCTGGGGTTTTTGAAAAAGGGATGGGTGAAGTAGGCTTCTATCTAGCATTCAAGTGCGTGTGGGTGTGTGTGTGTGTTTGTGTGTTACCACCCTTGGGTTTGTTATGCTCACAAATGTGTGTGGTTGTATTGTGTGGGAGTGCATGCAGTGTGTGTGTGTGTCTGTGTCTCTATGTGTGTAGGGGGGGGGGGGGGGGGGGGGGGGCGGAGGTTCTCACCCCACTGGTCTCTCTGACTGTCTCCCCCCCCCCCACTCCAGTTTCCATCCCAACCAGCCGGATCTTCCCTTTGTTAGGACAGAAAGGCATCACTCACCCATGTAATTGAGATCCTGCTTCTGGGAGAGGGGGTGGGCGATGGGGGTGAGTGGGACAGGAGAGAATCGGGGGATAGCTGTGTGAGAGAGGGGCTATAGGGAGACATCCCCATCTCTCTCCATGCCTCCAGAATTTGTACAACCCAACATGTGATTGGTTGGCATTTGGTTATGATGAACAGCATTGATCCTTACATGGAGATTTGGCTGATTTCTAGAAATTATGTTGTTGGAAGTGTGAACATGGCCCCTATCACAAAAAGTTGATATACCTTTACTTTTAATGAGAAAAAACACTGTATGATCAACACATAAAATAATAATAATAATAATAATAGTCAACCATCTTACAAAAAACATGATAGATGATGGTTGCCTTAAAGTAAGTACACATGACAGTGTGATAAATGTTTTGCATATTACTCAGTGGTAATATCTCTGAATCACACATATCATGCTTCTACCATATAAGGCATCAGTGCATATGGTCAAGCATATCCCTTCTTATCTCAGTGAATGAGCAAACTCATAGACTGCTAAACCTATGACAGACCCACATGGTTTAGTTTCAGTCTCAGACCACCAGTGCATACATAACCATAGATCTTTCAAAGCATTCTCTAGCCCAAAAAACCTGTGCTAAACCCCATTCATTTCATGCCTCCTTGTTCATGGACATGTCATGCCCCTTCATACAGTGTCACCCCAGTAGATTTGCTCCAGTGTCATTCCCAGGGGGATTGGTGATGTTATTCCCTAACGGAGGAAGGCACTTACTGGTATCACTAGGGAAAGACACGGATGGCGGCTGGTTGAAATGCCCCGTCAGGAAGATTCCAATGGTACCCATGAGGAACGACAGCGCCATGGTGATGAAGCACACTCTGTCAATCACCCGGCCAACCAGGAACCACTCCTTGTTCTCCTGTGGGTGACATCAGAGGGACAGGTCAGAGGGGACACTAAGAAGTGGACAATCACTCTAAATGTTGGGAAATCAAAGTTTTCGTAAGAAGTTTCCTTTCAATAATGAGAGAGTTAACGGTATTACAGAGTGAAACATCTTCTGGCACAAAATGGCAGCCATGCATCACCTAGGTGGGTGCAACACTTTGGGGAGACTCACACTCTCTAAGTAATTTTGTTGCTGGGTACTCTCTGCAATTTGTTTGCAGGATGCTAAACACTGGCGCACCTCCGGTGAAGCCTAGGCCAGGCTGGCCCCCAATTCCTGGGATGTACCCCCCTCCAGACCAATATCTAGGGTCAAATGTCAAACAGAGAGCTATAGTGACAAGGAATCAACCTATACACATTTCTTGCAATTTTCTTGCAACTAAGATTGAAAATGTGTTAACTTTTTACATTACACTGTCCTTATTAATGTGTAATTATTCCTGTCAGTACAGTGTAACAAGTATTGTAATTACTCATTGTTACACTGTACTTACAGCAGTAACCCTAACCCTAGCGCTAACCTTAACCCTAACCTTAGCTTCATGTCAACATCCTGGTTCAACCCTAACCCTAGCCTTAACCGTAAGTGCAGGGTAAGTACAGTGTAACCAAAAATTCCCATCAATTCCCCATATTCCCCATGTAAATATCCTAATAACCCTACTCACGGATCTTCTCCAGTGCATATTTCATCAGGCCGTCCCGCTCTCTGAGCCTGGAAAACACGAGTTCCGACCGGGCTGTATTCATGGTGTATTCCTCCGCTTTAGTGATGAGTCCCAGGGAGCTGCGGCGCCGGCAGAGGACTAGAAATATGTTACGCCCTCCGTTGGTACTGTGACCGTGACCATTACTGGTTCCATCACTGACGTCACAGTCCTCATACGGCATCCACGGTCGCATCTGCATCCTCAGCAGCCGAGGCAGGATGTTCAGCAGGACCTGAGGTCAACAAGGCCGAGGGTCAAAGGTCAACACCACCAGAGCAGCCAAACTTTCCTTTATGGCCTAACAACAAGCCATCTCGTAATGCAGAGGCCCATGTAAAACCACATTTGAGGCAGAAAGCTTTTGTCAAACTTGCTGATCACAGTCTTACAGTCTTACCTTCCTGACTTTATTGTCATGATGTGTGATTTGGCAGCCTGGTCTCATAGACTAGGCGTAACATAGTAAAGTAAATCCGGGACACTAATTAGTATGATATGTCACGTTTGGTATGAGTACATAAAGACAGATGGTTACTTAAGGTCATGGGTCAGGGTGAATGGGTGGGCGTACAACGTGAATGTCTAGCAACCCAAAGGTTGCGAGTTCGAATCTCATCACGGACAACTTAAGCATTTTAGCTAATTAGAAACTTTTCTACTACTTACTACTTTTTAGCTACTTTTCAACTACTTAGCATGTTAGCTTTCCCTTCCCCTAACCCTAACCGTAACCCTTTTAGCTAACCCTTCCCCTAACCCTGACCTTAACCCTTGAACCTAACTCCTAAACTTAATCCTAACATTAACCCTAACCCCTAGCCTAGCTAACGTTAGCCAGCTAGCCGATATTAGCCTTCTAGCTAGAATTTGTAACATATCGTACATTTTGTAAATTCATAACATATTGTACGTTTAGCAAAGTATAACATATAATGCGAATTGTAATACGTAACATATTTGAAATGCCTGATGGACATCCACAAATTAATAAATACCATACGAAACGTAACATATCATACTAAATGGAGTGTCTACGATTTACGTACAGAATAATACAAAATGCTCTGAGACCAGGTTGGTATTGGGGGTCCATAGAGACACTTTCAACATGATGACTCAGTTCATTGCTACGATGGTGGTCACAGACATTACAAACAGCAGGTACCTGCAAAGACATGTTCACCTTTATATTATCAGAAGCCATTGAGACAATCCAGGTTCACAACATCAATAATACTACATACAATAACACATTTTAAAGGATGTCTGTGGTTAAAGTGGTTTTACTCTCCGATAAGAGGAACAGCATGGGAGGTTTCTGGAACCTTCTTGGCTATGAGGATGAGGAAGACAGTCTGGGCCAGGAGGATCATGATGGACACGATGCACTTTGACCCCCACAACCACAGAGAGAGTCAGTCAGTTGATGGAGGATCAGGAAGAACACCACTTCCTGGTACTCTAACTCATCTTTAGTGAAGAGCTGGTTGATAAGCTTCTTAGCAGGCCTGTGCTTAATGATCCACTCCTCATTCTCTGGCAACAGTAGAGAGCTAGAGTTAATATGAATAGTGTCATGGCTTCCAGATATGCTGCTTAGAAAATTATCCAATTCTGGTTAGAAAAAGAGAGAGAACGAGAGAGCTTTGTATTTGTTTTTAGGGAACAGAACCCACAATGGATTGAACGTTTATTGAGGATTTCATGAATATTCATTGTCGTGTTGTATAATGCCCTCGTGTTATCCTCTGTTCCTTCATGTTTCTTCTATTTTTCATACCCTCACAAAAGAACACATCAATCAAGGTGTTTAAGGCGTAGGGTTACTACCTGTAAAAGCCTCGGGGTCGATCACCACCCACTCCACAGGCTGGTTGTCCTCCTCTGTGAGAACTAGTTCTATCTCGTTAGTGTTGTCGGTCTGGGAACTGAACACAGGGGAGACACAGACATCCATCTGTACAGTCATCCATTACTGTTTACAAGACAGCAGGCTGAAAGGGGACATTAGCATGTTTGTTAGGAGTATTGTCCCTGGCCTGGCTGACAGGGAGAGATTGAAGAAAGACAGTGAATTACGCTGAATATTAAAGTACCTTCCTTTCTTAAACTGTTATTTTCTTGGCCTTTTTAAAAGTTATTATTAGGATCAGGCGGATGAATGCAAAAAACACAGACCTTACCTACCAGTAAGCTGTCTATCACGTTGACCAACTTGGTCTTCCTCATATTGTGGTTTAAATTACTGTGTGCTCATTGGCAGGCCAGGTGGAGGCATTACCCGTATCCTCTTCATATCTGCAATCACTGAAGAGGTTGGGGGTATGTCTTAGCTAAGGGGATGTTTTGGATTTTCTGGGAGTGTGTATTATGCCCACACTGGAAGACCATGGTGAAGTTCTGCAAGTCAAAGGGGAAGTAGTTGACGGTGATGGAGTGGGCGCTTCGGTAGATGGCATTTTAATTGAAAACAATCATAGTAAGGTACTTAATTGTTACCCAGAAATTATTTCATATTGTCACGATCGTTACATGAACCGGACCAAGGCGCAGCGTGAAATGCGTACATCTTTTAATGAGTACTTTACAAAATATACAAAATGATACGTGAAGTCCTAAGGTTAACAAAACACAAACCTCTCCGGAACAAGATCCCACAAATGACAAGTGCAAAACAGGCTGCCTAAGTATGGTCCCCAATCAGAGACAACAAGCAACAGCTGCCTCTGATTGGGAACCACCCCGGCCAACATAGAAACACATGAACATAGAACACTAAACATAGAAACTAACACCCTGGCTCAACATATAAGAGTCCCCAGAGCCAGGGCGTGACAGTACCCCCCCCCCCCCCCCCCCCCCAAAGGCGCGGACTGCGACCGCGCCAACTAAACCCAACAGGGGAGGGGCCGGGTGGGCATTCCGCCTCTGAGGCGGATCCGGCTCCGGGCGTGACCACCACTCTCTAGCTACCCCTCCGTAGCGCCCCTGGTCTGCTCCCGCTGGCTGGAGCTGGACATCGGTGGAGCGGATTGCTTAGGCTCCGGTGTGGAGCAGCTGACCGGTACCTGACCAGGCACCGGTGGAACAGGCACGGGCTGTGCCGGACTGACGACGCGCACCACTGGCTTGGTGCGGGGAGCAGGAATGGGCCGGACCGGGCTGATAACGCGTACCACTGGCTTGGTGCGGGGAGCAGGAACGGGCCGGACCGGGCTGACGAGGCGCACCACTGGCTTGGTGCGGGGAGCAGGAACAGGCCGGACTGGGCTGACGACGCGCACCACTACCTTGGTGCGGGGAGCAGGAAAAGGCCGGACCGGACTGGCGACGCGCACCACTGCCTTGGTGCGGGGAGCAGGAACAGGCCGGGCTGGGCTGGCGACGCGCACCACAGGCTTGGTGCGAGGGGCAGGAACAGGCCGGGCCGGACTGGGAACACGCACCACTAACTTAGTGCGGGGAGCAGGAACGGGTTGGGCCGGACTGGGAACACGCACCACTAACTTAGTGCGGGGAGCAGGAACGGGTTGGGCCGTACTGGGAACACGCACCACTAACTTAGTGCGGGGAGCAGGAACGGGTCGGGCCGGACTGGGAACACGCACCACTAACTTAGTGCGGGGAGCGGGAACGGGTCGGGCCGGACTGGGAACACGCACCACTAACTTAGTGCGGGGAGCAGGAACGGGCCTGACCGTACTGGGAACACACACCACTGGCCTTGTGCGGGAATCAGGAACGGGCCGGACCGGACTGGTGACACACACCACTTGCTTGGTGCGAGGAGCGGGACTGGGTTTCCTCATAAACCTCCGCTCCCTCTGCTGCCTACTCAGTTCCTCTCGCCGTGCCTCCACACTCTCCTTCTCCCTCCTGACCAATGGCCCCCGTAACCTGGTGGCCTCCTCTCCTAGTCCACAAACTCGCCCTGTAGCTGCCTCCAGCAGCCCCGTCGTCCATGCCGTGTGCCCCCCCAAAAAAATGTATTGGGGTTGCCTCTCGCCTGTCCGACGCCGGCCCGGTTGGCGCCGCTTCTCCTCTCCTGCCTGGACATCCTCCCTCATCGCCCTCCGATAGCGGACGGCCTCCTCCTCGGTGATCTTCCCCCAACCGAGGAGGACATCCACTAGCGTTACCTCCGGCGTTTGCTCCTGGACACGCTGCTTGGTCCTTAATTGGTGGGATCTTCTGTCACGATCGTTACATGAACCGGACCAAGGCGCAGCGTGATATGCGTACATCTTTTAATGAGTACTTTACAAAATATACAAAACAACAAAACGATACGTGAAGTCCTAAGGTTAACAAAACACAAACCTCTCCGGAACAAGATCCCAAAAATGACAAGTGCAAAACAGGCTGCCTAAGTATGGTACCCAATCAGAGACAACAAGCAACAGCTGCCTCTGATTGGGAACCACCCCGGCCAACATAGAAACACATGAACTAGAACATGAACATAGAACACTAAACATAGAAACTAACACCCTGGCTCAACATGTAAGAGTCCCCAGAGCCAGGGCGTGACACATATGGAGATAAAAATAGCTGCATTGGACCTTTAACACTTCCAAAAGGGAAACACATTAGCTTTAATTTGTCAGCTACAGCAAAAATACTTTCCCCAATGGCATAGCCATATACACAGACCTAAAATGATCTATTAATGTAAACTGTATTCCCGCCAAAAAACAGCTACCCCCCTCCCCCCATAAAAAACAAAAAAACAAAAACATTATTCATCTCAAAAGTCAGATTCCCTGAGGGCATTTTTGGGAACACACTGTGGCTCACATAGTTTTTTTCACTCTAAGTATTTGTTAATTCATTCACTTTGAATCGAGCAAAACGTGTTTGAAAGCAATATTTCTGAAGCTTTGTTTAACTCATTGTTATTACATAACACGTCTGCCACACTCTCAGAAAATCTATTGGCTACTGAGCCACACCCTGACATTCCTCCCAAATACCAACAAAATACCAACTGAATTTCCTCCAAATAATAGCCATGCTAACAGGAAAATTAGACGCTAACATTCTTACAAGCCGTGAAGATAATGAGAAATGTCCATAGACAGAGTGATATAGAGAGGAGAGATCCTGCCGCCATGTCTGTATAGAGAATACAGCTAGCCGTGGCATGAGGCGACAGTAACTCGCACCCTGATGGAAAAATCTAACTGACTCCTGTAATTCACAGCCAGGCTCAGTATACAGAGTTCCTTGATGTGTTGGAGACCAAAGGCTAAAGGCCAGGGAAGTTTTTTGGTCAATATTTACCACATCCTGCTTGAATATCATCATTTCCAGACAAGGCCTGTAATGGGATCAGCAAGAAAAACATAGTCCTTATAGAAGATTTAATATGACATAATATAATGACATGACTTCATGAAGTCTGCTTATTATGACAACGAACTTTACACTGTCATCATGACACATGATTATTCATTTTCAGAAATCCCTCAGCCAAAAGTTTCAGCTAGGGTCCAAACCTTGGGGCCAAAGTCCTCTAAAACCATATGAAAGAAACTGTAGGCTGGCTTGGCTGGGTGTATACCTTCATGTGGTGGTACAGAGGTATAGGCCTACAGTATGTTATATACGGCTGTTGCCTATGCTCCTAGCCTGGCTAGCTCTGTTTTAGCTGTAGTTGAGAGGTGTTCCTTGTGTATCCTGTGCATATGACAAATACACTTGATTTGATTTAGGAGCCCAAAACCTCTCTTGCTGTCCCTCTGGGGGAGGGATGAGCATAGGGTCTGCATTGTGTGCAGGCTTTTGCTTCAGCCCAGTTCGAACAAATCCAATTCAACAAATCTAATTATGGTGTTAATAGTAGATTAGTAGTTGAATCTTCAATGGCTCAACATCCATTTTGACTCCTGAGTCAACCTCTTCACAAAAGCGAGTGAGCCATTCCCTTCCTCGACCCTGATCACCATCATTACCCAAATGTCTCCCATCAGGGTGACATCTAATCTGTAAACGGTTCGTTTGTCAGCACAGTTGCCGTTGTCTTCTGGTAAATCAAAACAATTGCTTGTAGATACTGTGTATACAAATCATCAAATCATGTCAGACCTGAAAGACGATCCCAGTTCTATGACCAGTGTCTGGGAATAGGGATATGGAGAGGTGAGGAATTAGGAGACTCAGAGTGGAGAGGAGTGGGGTTGATGGTTACCCTAAGACTCATCCCCCCATCATTCCTCCAGCATGGACCACAGCAGCTGCTGTGTTGACGGGGTCGGAGTTCAACAGAGAAGATTGGGGTCAAGGGTCATTACCTATTCTGGTTTAGTGTAGACCAGGGTTCTTCAATTCCGGTTCTGGAGGGCCGAAACACCTCTGTTTTTCATCCTCTCCTTCTAATCAGGGGCTAATTCAGACCTGGGACACCAGGTGAGTGCAATTAACTACCAGGTAGAAATAAAAAACAGAAGTGTTTCGGCCCTCCAGGACCGGAATTGAAGAACCCTGGTGTAGACGATGGACAAAACGAGTGTTCACTTTACAAAATATAATATATTTCAACCTATTATCTGACCAATAAGGACCTTAATTGATTCTTTTTTTAAAATTGTATTTATAATTTTTTACAAAAGAATGAATCCGAGTTGAAACGAGGACAAACATCACCAAGCACTACAGATAGGATAATAACAATTGTATTGATATTTTATTAGAAAAATACAAAGCAGTTCTCTATACAAATAAATATAGCAACAAAAATAATATACCAATGTACAGTAATGTAGGGGCCTACAGTCTGCATGCTTCACAAGAGGCTCAACCTTTTGCAGAAAAACAGACATTTTGAATAAATTATTTATTTATACAGGCTCATAAGTTAGAATGGGCTGCGTCCATAGAGATAGATAGAGGACTCTAGATGGATACAACCCGTTTTAGCATGGACATCGCCATTGAGGGCTTCTACCATTTTAACGGCACAGATACAAAAATGAGTTCTCTATCTATTTCTATGGCTGCGTCTCGCCAGCCATGTAAAACAACAACCCATTTCCATTAATGGTTGCTAGGCAGGATGGTCCAATACATTCAGGGCTGTGCGTACATAGAGGTCAGGCTCTCAGGTGGGTTGACATGATGTCATATTGTAATGTCTCTCTGCTTCAGAGTGTACCAGCAGAGTCGCACTGAGTGTGTGTGTGTGTGTGCGCGTGCACTTGTGTCCATTTGTGTGTATTATGTTTTAGTAGGGATGTGTATCTCTCCTTTCATGAACGATGTGATACGCATATGGATACATGGGCTCCAATACGATACAGGAACGATACGTTTTAGTTTGAAACGAGTCGGTGCGATTTGGATTGATTAGGGGAAAGAATTGATGCAATTTGATGAACTTTTTTGTTGTTGCATTGAACACATTCATTTTCCATTTTAAATGAATAACTGCTGCTGATGGGAGCTGGCCCTCTCGGAGCTGGATCTGTCTGAGATGACTTCTCTAAGCTGAGTGGCCCTCAGTGAGTGTGTGTGTCAATGGTGTGTGTGTAGGCACCGGAGCTGAGCCATAGGGCAGACTGAGCATCTACCACCCCACTATCAGATTAGGGGTGGGGGCAATTTATGCTTTTTCCCCCACCACTTTTTATCTGACATCCCCATCACCCACTGATTAACTTGTCATTTTGCAGATTAAACATGTTTTGAGCTAGTACTATGTCAATATTTATCTTTAGAAATTAGCATGGCATTTAGCCAATTAATATAATGCAGCTTTGTATTTTACCCAGTCTCAAAAGTGAATGATTTAGACCGTTTGGAATTTTATGGAGAGCTTCTCCCGCTCTGACCAATGAATGAATGCAACCATGCGCAGCTGGCTAAAATGATTGCTGTCCTTAATGAACTTACCCTGTTCATGTAAAAATGACCAAATACACTGACTGTTTAAAGCAAAAACTACCAAAACTATTTCTTATGGTGAACCTGAACAATCTAAATTACATCTGAATGATTGCATCCATTCCGGTAGGCTACACAACTCCAGTAAAACAACTTTCTACAGCTCATTTGGTAACAATGACCCGGCAAATTACATTGGTTGTCACTCAACTAATAAACCGTATGATTTGACATTGTGAAAGCCATTTTACAAGCATCTGAATGCAGATGTACGAATAGCCTATTAGAACAACCTCTCGTTGGCGCGAGCAGCTGTCTCCAGCACTGTGCGCACAGTTGCTATCCCACACTCATACGCAGTTACATCATAAAAGTTTGATAGGCTACTGACCTGAAAGAGGACGCATCAATATGAGTTTCTTTTTCTGAATAAAACAATGAGTAAAAAACAGTGAACTGGCGATTTGCAACGTTTTAAAATCGGTTTTCTGACCGATGCATACTTAATTTGGATCAGTTTGGGCTCCCGCCCACCGATGCACTTGCATCTTAAACATTTGAACCGGGAACTGATGCATATTGGTGAATTGTTACATTCCTAATGTTTAGGTCTCTTAGAATGCCCAGTGCCTGTCCTCTCGCCTCCCATCTGAATGAGTCGTCTCCAGTTTCTAGGTCACACTGGGTTCGTTCCTCCTCTCTGGTCTCTGCCACCACAAGCTACACCACGCCTTCGCTGAGTCACTGAGTCTTTGACGTGTGTTTGTTCTGTTGTTGTTGAAGTTGATATTGTTTACGTTTTGAGAGCGTCCAGCGCCAGAGCGATGATGCGCGGCATGCTACGGTAGAAGGACTCGTTCTCCAGACCCACCAGGCTGTAGAAGGTCAGAGGTCGACCCCCCACCATCGCCCTGACCCGAGCCTCGTACAGACCCCGATCGTTCTTAGAGCTCAGGTCCACCAGCACCTGAGAGGAGGACAACAACACAGGACATGATGACACAGTTATTCAGTGACAGTAACACATTACTTGAATAGAGAAAAAGTGATGAAAAAGTCTAATTGGTTTGAGTTGACTTCAATTTCAATCTTAATCCCAATATCTACATAATTATATGCCTTATAAATAAGACCTTGTAAATATTGCTGTGCAGAGAAACTCACCTCCTGGAAGTTCATGCGGAGGTTCTTGGTGGGGATGCCCAGGATCCACTTGTACGTGTCTCTGATACCACTCACATGCTGGGTGGACTCTGCTACTCCTGGACAAGCTGTCAAACACCCACAACCTATTATTATGTTTGCTAATATCCAGTACTGATAATGTTAACATACACAGATGCTATGAGTGGGGCTAGGGGGTTTTCCTGACCACGTGACCTGACCAGGAACAACTCCAAGCCTTATGTTTAGCCTCTATCTAGGGCCCAGAGTGTTTCCTAGTCATGTCACATGGTCAGAAAAAAATAAAAATAATAATCAGGGTCGTAACAATGTGACACTGTTGATTACAGAGCTGTTCCATCACAGATACATACAGTACAGACATATAGTACTAGTTGTAACACGTACCTTTAACCCCAGGTATCTGCCTCTTGCGGAGACTCCTGCGTCTCCTGTGGTCGAGAAACAGCCAGAGGGAGGGAGAACCAGGAAGTAGAGTCTGTCTGGAGTCAGAGGTCGTTGCTGTGGGAGACATGGTGCTGCCGATGGCGGACAGAGACGGGAACAGGCGCTGTAAGGTTGTCTGTTCAGTCACAGCTTTGTTAAGCCAATCTGAAGTCTCCATTGAACCGACTGGTGTTGGATCAGAAAACGTGTCCTCTTCAAAAGATGTTACACTAATTTCTGCATCTTCTGTCGCCATTTCATTCTGTGTCCCAAATTTCCGGAGTTCACTGATGAGGGCTGTGAGCGACTCTGACCCCTGAGGGGGGAATGAAGTGGGCGACACTCTGGTGGGAACTGCAGGAATGTTGGGAGAGTTTTCCTGGAGGAGGGCTGTATTCAGGTGCAGGATTGGAGGAGCAGGTCTGGAGTCCAGTTTGGAGCGTAAGGCTGAGATGATGGTCTGGTACTTCCCCTCTAGCTGATGCAGAGAGGGGTCCTCTGCCTGGAAATGGCATCATAAACAGGGTTAAAAACGGGTGTAGTAAAGCACAGACAAACATTTACATATAGCAACAGTATAGCATAGTACACCATTAAAGCAAACTGTAGTGTTGATATAGCTACTGAATATAAAGTAAAACAGCACAGCCTCATATAAGCCTGTGGTCAACATGAGAGAGGATCATAAAGCGAGTTCCCAAGACAGACAAAGTGACTGAAAAATGATCTTTACAAAGTGTTGAAGAGTTGAGTTCACTATAGCCTACCTGGAGGAAAAGACTCTCTTCTTGGTTCAGGGATTTGGAGCAGTCTGTCTGTCCGTCTGTCTCTCCATGTGTCTGTGTGTCCAACTCCACAGCGATGCACCTGAGGTAGTTCTCCCAGTCAGCCACCAGGGGGCCTACCTTCTGGAACAACCCAGGACCCGTCTCCTCTGACCCTGACCGGACAGCACCCCATACCTGTTCTTTAACAAATAATACCCCTGTTACACACATGCCATGGCCATGGGACACACACCTCTGTATTAATATAATAATAATAATAATAATAATAATAATAATAATAATAATAATAAATTAAAAAATAGCATTCCTATCGATTGAAAAAAAGCTAAGGTAGGCTGTGTGGGTAAGAGTGTGTTTTTGGACATGGTTTTAAGGAGGAATGGGGTTGTTGTGGGGGTAGCAGGGCTGTAGGGGGTTACAGTACTGTGATGTGGAGTAGTAAGGTGTGTGGAGGTGGGGGATAAGACGAATGTAGGAGAGTAACAGAATGGGGAGGAATGGAGAGTACGATGGGGCTAGAAAGAGGACAGTAGTGGGGTGCCTGTGTTTTACCTGTTCCCCTCTTCTCCCTCTCCTTGGCGGTGAAGGCTGTACTGTAGATATGTTCCACCAGCTGAGGCAGGGTCTGGGTGAAGAAGGTCAGGTCTACCTTGTCTCTGATGTAGTCCTCTGCTCTCTGGAGCAAGTCCAGCAGGGTCTGCAGGAACGAACGCAACTCTGAGGAGGAGAGAGGCGAAATCAAGGATACATTATTAAAGACCAGAGAAAGACATGGTTTGAGTAATCTGTAGAGAAATAGCTCATTACAAGATCCAATATCCATCTCCACTACAACAATATTATCATCATCATTATTGCTTTATACAATAGTCTTCAAACTTTTCTTGCCCAGGGACCCCCTTCCCAGGCAAATATTTGATTTACATCTTGTCTTATCAGGTGTATGATAATGGCAAGGAGAAGAAACATTTCAAAATTCATAGATTTTGTAGATAGTTCATAATTTTGACATCCCCACATTACAATTTGAAGAGGAAGTGTAAACTCTATCATAGCCTATTAGCTAGAAAGGTAACTCCTAATGTTTCCACTAAGAGCAGCTGTTAATCTGGTTACACAAAGTTTAGCCACAGGGTTGGGGTCAATTCCATTTAAATTCCAGTCAATTCAGGATGTACACTGAAATTCAAATTATTTTCAATGCTTTTCAGCACTTGCTGCACTGGTAGCCTATTTGCAGGTGCTTTTTCAAAGCCTTATGTCAGATACTCCAGGAAGTGTAATTTGCTCCAATGAGTGGAATTTGCTCAATATTAAGAGTTGAGAAATAAAGTTGACATCATTAGAAAGAAAACATTCTCCTCTTTTCTACTGTAGGTCATTCAACATTTGTTTATTCTGTTGTTGCTATTGATATTCATATAAACATTGAAATAATAAATACAAATAAATCACACACAAATATATAATATATACAGTGGATTCGTAAATTATTCAGACACCTTGACTTTTTCCACATTTAGTTACGTTACAGCCTTGTTCTAAAATGGATTCAATTAATTTTTTCCATCATCAATCTACACACAATACCCCATAATGACAAAGCAAAAACCGTTTTTTATAAATGTTGCTAATTTATGGAAAAACTAAAACAGAAATACCTTATTTACGTAAGTATTCAGACCCTTTGCTATGAGATTCGAAATTGAGCTCAGGTGCATCCTGTTTTCATTGATCATCCTTGAGATGTTTCTACAACTTGATTGGAGTCCACCTGTGGTAAATTCAATTGATTGGACATGATTTGGAAAGGCACACACCTGTCTATATAAGGTCCTACAGTTGACATGTAATTGTCCGTAGAGCTCCGAGACAGGATTGTGTCGAGGCACAGATCTGGGGAAGGGTACCAAAAAATGTCTGCTGCATTGAAGCTCCCCAAGAACACAGTGGCCTCCATCATTCTTAAATGGAAGACGTTTGGAACCACCAAGACTCTTCCTAGAGCAGGCCGCCCGGCCAAACTGAGCAATCGGGGGAGAAAGGCCTTGGTCAGGGAGGTGACCAAGAACCCGATGGTCACTTTGACAAAGCTCCAGAATTCCTGTGGGGATGGGAGAACCTTCCAGAAGAACAACCATCTCTGCAGCACTCCACCAATCAGGCCTTTATTGTAGAGTGGCCAGACGGAAGCCACTCCTCAGTAAAAGGCACATGACAGCTCGCTTGGAGTTTGCCAAAAGGCACCTAAAGGACTCTGTAGTATGATAAGCTGTAGACCACACTATTTACAAAGATAGTTTTCATCTATATTTTTCATAGCTGTCTATTTACCACCACAAACCAATGCTGGCATTAAGATTGCACTCAATGAGCTGTATAAGGCCATAAGTAAACAGGAAAACGCTCATCCAGAGGCAGCGCTCCTAGTGGCCGAGGACTTTAATGCAGGGAAACTTAAATCCGTTCTACCTAATTTCTACCAGCATGTTAAATGTGCAACCAGAGTGAAAAAATCTCTAGACCACCTTTACTCCACACACAGAGACGCATACAAAGCTCTCCCTCGCCCTCCATTTGGCAAATCTGACCATAACTCTATCCTCCTGATTCCTGCTTATAAGCAAAAACTAAAGCAGGAAGCACCAGTGACTCGGTTAATAAAAAAGTGGTCAGATGACGCAGATGCTAAGCTACAGGACTGTTTTGCTAGCACAGACTGGAACATGTTCCGGGTTTCTTCAGATAGCATTGAGGAGTACACCACATCAGTCACTGGCTTCATCAATAAGTGTATCGATGACGTCATCCCCACAGTGATCGTACGTATATACCCCAAACAGAAGCCATGGATTACAGGCAACATCCCCATTGAGCTAAAGGGTAGAGCTGCCGCTTTCAAGGAGCGGGACTCTAACCCGGACGCTTATAAGAAATCTCGCTATGCCCTCCGACAAACCATCAAACAGGCAAAGAGTCAATACAGGACTAAGTTTGAATCGTACTTCACCGGCTCTGACGCTCGTCGGATGTGGCAGGGCTTGAAAACTATTACAGACTACAAAGGGAAGCACAGCCGCGAGCTTCCCAGTGACACAAGCCTACCAGACGAGCTAAACCACTTCTATGCTCGCTTCGAGGCAAGCAACACTGAAGCATGCATGAGAGCAACAGCTGTTCCGGATGACTATGTGATCACGCTCTCCGTAGCCGATGTGAGTAAGACTTTTAAGCAGGTCAACATTCAGACGGATTACCAGGACGTGTACTCCGAGCATGTGCTGACCAACTGGCAAGTGTCTTCACTGACATTTTCAACATGTCCCTGACTGAGTCTGTAATACCAACATGTTTCAAGCAACAACATTGTCCCCGTGCCCAAGGACACTAAGAAAACCTCCCTAAATGACTACCGACCCGTAGCACTCACGTCTGTAGCCATGAAGTGCTTTGAAAGGCTGGTCATGGCTCACATCAACACCATTATCCCAGAAACCCTAGACCCACTCCAATTTGCATACCGCCCCAACAGATCCACAGATGATGCAATTTCTATTGCAGTCCACACTGCCCTTTCCCACCTGGACAAGAGGAACACCTCCGTGAGAATGCTATTCATTGACCACAGCTCAGTGTTCAACACCATAGTGCCCTCAAAGCTTATCACTAAGCTAAGGATCCTGGGACTAAACACCTCTCTCTGCAACTGGATCCTGGACTTCACCTTCCATCAGGACAACAACCGTAAGCACACAGCCAAGACAACGCAGGAGTGGCTTCGGGACAAGTCTCTGAATGTCCTTGAGTGGCCCAGCCAGAGTACGAACAAACATCCCTGGAGAGACCTTAAAATAGCTGTGCAGCGATGCTCCCCATCCAACATGACAGAGCTTGAGAGGAACTGCAGAGAAGAATGGGAGAAACTCCCCAAATACAGGTGTGCCAAGCTTGTAGCGTCATACTCAAGAAGACTTGAGGATGTAATCGCTGCCAAAGTTGCTTCAACAAAGTACTGAGTAAAGGTTCTGAATACTTATGTAAATGTCATATTAGATTTTTTTATTAATTTGCAAAAATCTATAAAAAACAGTTTTTGCTTTGTCATTATGGGGTATTGTGTGTAGATTGATGAGGGAAAAAAACAATTCTCCATTTTAGAATAAGGCTGTAAATGTGGAAAAAGTCAAGGGGTCTGAATACTTTCTGAATGCACTGTACACACACACACACACACACACACACACACACACACACACACACACACACACACACACACACACACACACACACACACACACACACACACACACACACACACACACACACACACACACACACACACACACACACACACACACACACACACACACACACACACACACACACACACAGAGAGATTCCCGGTTGAACACCCCTGCAATAGAGGGGTGGTTCATTTTTTATGCACTAAACATAGGGCAGTTGAGAGTTCAAGGTCCTCATGCTCACTTTAGGTGTCATGAATGTTATAATAAAACAGAAAAAAATTGCTGTGAATGTTTCAAGTCAAACACTTACGGCACTTCTTGAAGCGGATGCGACATTTCTCTTCTACAAGGCGGTTGCAGGCGGCGGCCCCCTGGCTGGGGGGGCAGGTCTGGGCGTAGAAGCGACACAGAGAGCCAAACTCCGACCTCTGCTGCTCCTCCGACAGCTCCGACGTCTTCAGCAGCTCAGGACAAGTTGGCTCCCGACTCCCAAAGGACTCTGGGTAAACCAGGGAGTGAATGTTAGAATGCTGGTTCAGTACTGTATCATGATTCATATCAGGATACGTAATATGTTTAAAAAGGTTTCACTTCAAAAGCTTTAGAACCAATCATTTAAATGCATTGCAAAGCATTGTAGCTTCAAAAAATTATGGTGTTTAAAAAAAAAGTTAGTTACTCTGTATCTCAGCCAGTATCCAATCGGAGAAGGCGCTGACCCGTGTGTAGACCCCAGGTTTGCCCTTTTCCCCACAGCCGTCTCCCCAGGACGTGATGCCGTGCAGCTGGAAGCGACCTGACATACGATCCTGGTAGATCAGAGGGCCTCCAGAATCCCCCTACAGGACACACACAGTATTACAGCTATAAAGTACTCCGCTATGAAATCGTAAATATGCCATTCAGCAGACACTTTTATCCAAAGCGACTTAAGGCGTCCACATGCTTCCCAGCCGAAACAGTTCGGAAGAGTTTGTGCATATATTATGATTACATTTTGTGGCGTTTTTGTTCATTTTTGACTTTTTCGGCTGTTCGAGCACACCATTTTTTTTTCTGGAGGCAAGCCGAAGTCGGTAGCCGAAGTCTACGCCCCTTCGTCGGTGATTGGTCAACAGTAGGGATTCTTCAATAAAAGTCTTTGTTGTCATTCAACAAGAGACGCCTCGTTTTCATGCCCCAAAAATATATTTCAGAAATAATGCACCAAACATCTTAGTTAGATGTAAAATTGCACAACAAAGATCTCCTTGGCAAAAACGTGATAAATTCTGACTATTTTCAGGAAGTGTATACTGGCTACAGTGTCTCAAAATGGACAAACAGTACTATTCTCGTTTTTCAAATGAAGGTCTTTTAAGGGAGTATGCGAGCACACTCGTTTGGCCAGCCGAACTGAAGCATGCTGACACCTTAACAGTCATGCATGCCGTGCATAAATTTTTTACGTATGGGTGGTCCCGGGAATCGAACCCACTATCCTATCATTGTTAGCGCTATGCTCTCTACCAACTGAACTACAGAGGACCACACTCACCACAATATAAATGCACAGGAGCACAGCTCTGGATTACATTTTGATTACATTTAAACAAATGCAAAGACAAATCTTCAATCTCATTACTCGGAGTCAGTCCAATGTTAGGAAGGGACCTGGGAATGACATTATCTTAAATCTCAGTCCATTGATATGGCAGTGCCACCCACCTGGCAGGAGTCGATGCCCCCAGAGAGGTATCCGGCACACAGCATGGTGTTGGTGACCAGCTCCTTGCCCAGGGAGCTCTTACAGGTGCTCTGGGGCAGCAGGGGAACCTTAGCCTCCATCACCACGTCAGCTGAAGGACCATCTGAGGAGATAGACAGGAAGTAGTTTAATGAGTGCCAAAATGCCATAATCTTCCATATGTACATATCATACTGTGTGTAACGGCTTCAAACCAAAGTTCCATTTAGCCATTTCCTTAAGTCAATGCGTTTGCTTTTCTATACAAATGATGTCTATAACCCTATACAGGTAAATAACCTGGCCAAAAACGTTACTTGAGAAACAGAAAACTTTGTAAAAACATGTACAGAATGATATATATACAGTTGTATTGTAGCTCACATTTACATTTTACATTTGCGACTTACAGTTAGTGCATCCATCTTAAGATAGCTCCACACATCTTTGGTGAATTCATCGTTTATTAATGACGGTTAAAATACTAGACGTACCTTCGTAGAGGGAGCCCCAGCCGGCCACCAGACAGGGGCTGCCAGTAGGTGGTTCCAGACCTGATGGCAGACACACAGGGGTCACACGGTCCGACAGGACCACTGGAGACGTCAGCTCCACCAGCGCTATGTCGTTGTTAAACGTCTTGGGGTTGAACTGCACAGAGAGGAGGGAGGCTTGATTAAGTTGATTGACTAACGTGTTTGACTGATTGATCAATGAATTGATGAATGAATTGCATTGCTCTAGCCAGAACATTTGATCTTTAGAGAACAGACAGTGCTACGATTCTTAAACGGTAGTATTGATGCAGCTCTGTTTGAAGGCAGGATACACAGTAAGAAAACACGTATGAGAAACACACCTTGGGATGGGAGATGATGCGGTTGACCTTGAGCACCTGCTCGTCAGGGTCGGGCTTGGTGATATCAAACTCTCCCACCACAGCCGTCCAGTAGCTCTCACTGCGACTGCTACAGCAGAGAAATACAGAGAGAGAAAGAGCGGGATAAGGTCAATTATGCTGAACTTTTACTTTGAGGGAAAACATTCAGAGAGACAAAAATAGAAGAGACGTGTCACACTCTTTTTCGGTTTGACAACCAGTACCAAACAACCAGTACAAAAGGACCCACACATACACACACTTACCCAGCGAAGCAGTGAGCGGCGGTCACCACCCAGGAGCTGTCCACCAGCACCCCTCCACACATCAGCCCCCCGTCCAGCTGCAGGTTGACCAGCCAGGGCCAGCTGCCAGGGGGGGCCGGGGAACCCCCCACAATACGGGAGCGGGGCTGGGTCACGTTCTGCACCGCCGACAGCCTCTGGCCACACACTGCTGCTGGGAGAGAGAGGGGGGAGAGTCAGGGGGTTCCAAAGAGTTCCACAATTTCAATCAGCAGACAAAGTAATACAGAACTCAGGATCATATTTATTAGGCACCAAACCGAAGAAAACCCACTGAAACAGAGACGTACTACTACCGGAACTTGTTTTTCATTTTATGTTGCAAAATGTTTTGCTACAGTGTGCCCTAATGAATACAACCCAATATGGTGTAAATTGTGTGTGTTGCTCACCCACCCTGTGTGCGTGTCTGTGTGGCAGGCTCCAGGTTCTGCATGGTGTTCAGGAGGCTACACTGGAGCACGCGGGCACTGCAGCTCTCGCCCATGATCCTCACACACGCCTCCTTCTCCGTGTCGCCCGGCGGGCACCGCCGCCGGTAGTACCCGCACGCCTGGCTCAGCGCCCAGCTCCGCTCGCCCTCCTCCGGAACCTTCTGGGCCTTGGTAATGACGTCACAGCTGGGCTCGGCCAATGCGCCGTCCAGAGAGGCTGTAAAGAGGAAGTAGAGATGAGGCCATGACTACAACCACACTGATTAAATGGCACCATGTATGAACACCGCTCTTCTCATCTTGTGTGATTCTTATGAGAGTTATGAACTTCTTTAACACTTATCTCACTCAGCACAACAACAGACATTAAAACACTCTTAAGACCTAGCCTCATGTTGTTGTCACATGGGTGATGGGAAGAGAGCGATAAAAGCTATGGATGGTTCCTTACAGCAGGCTCCGGAGCGCTGTCCGCAGTCCTGAAAGAGACAGGGTACACAGTCTCTACAGCCTGCTTCGGCCTGACTCCGCTCCGATGTTGCCAGCTCCAGAGCCGACAGAGCACTGGTCAACGCCGCCTCCAGAACCACAGTACCCCGGTCCGATAGAGCTACAGAGAGAGAGAGAGAGAGAGAGAGAGAGAGAGAGAGAGAGAGAGAGAGAGAGAGAGAGAGAGAGGGAGAGAGAGAGAGAGAGCAACAGCAAACATCTCGGTCAGTGCTGAAATGAACAGTAGAAAGTCAGCAATGTGACTCTCAGCACTGGCACACAGACGCACAGCTTTAGACTATTCAGAACAGTTGAGACAGTCTTATACTGTTACGGCATTATGACAGGTTTGTATTTCATTCAGACAACTTTCAGGCACGTTTGCGTGGTACTCTCGGAGGAGATGTGATTATAGGACGCACATTCGGAGGACATACACATGACATTCCTTGAGTGTGGGAAAGTCGGAGTAGTTGACAGCACTCTGTGTTTGTGTGTGTGCTTGTAGGAGCGAGTACAGTGTGCTTTTATGTGTGTGTGTGTCACTGTGCGGAGACCCATTTTCCTCCTGCTGCTCTTTGAGCCCTTTGGCAGCGCGTTAGTGGAGCGAGCTCACGCACAAACACGCCGGTGAGGGCTGTGCGGACGCACTTCAATTGTGCCGCCGCCCCCGCGCCCCTCCGCTGAGCGCGCCACATCACAGGGCAGGCCGCTAGCTAACGACGACAATGCTGATTGAAGACTTAATTAGATGGCAGAGACGGCCGAAGCATGGAGGAAAAAGGGACACGGGCTGGCAGGACAGGGGCAGCAGAAACCCTGCACCTCTTGGGACCCTTGTTTCAAACTGCTACAAACCCTCAGCGCTGCGCGCCACCTTCATCACCAAGTCTCTGCTGTACTCAGCACTTCACCCAAAAGAGATCTAGGGATCTCTACTCTTATGATTCATGCCGATCAGGCTAGCTGCTGTAACAGCCCTGGGAAAGCTCAGGGAAGTGATCAAGGCTACCAATCCATTCTTATTATAAAAGAGGTATTGTAAGTGATTGTACTCATCAGGATGAGATTTGGCTGGAGCTGTGCCTGCATGTGCAAGGTCCATTTGACTGTGATACAACAGTAAACCCTACTTCACTCACTGTTATGTAGATGTCAAGATTACCTCGGCAGTGAACAGGATTAGAGAAGCCTGCTTGGACAAACAGTTTTATCTATCCCATGCTTATTCTGCTATGAATTGCTCCTCGTAGAGAAATGCTTCCTGATCCTGCTAATTGTAACGCTTGTGCTTTCTAATGCTGCATAGTCCCAGTGACTAACCACCCATACTTAAAATGTATGCACACGACTGTAAGTCGCTTTGGATAAAAGAGTCTGCTAAATGGCATATATTATTTATTATTATAACACTGACACCAAACAACTTACTAATGTCTGGAACATGTCACCATGTTATACAGTACTGTCTGTTCACTGTGTAAACCCAGTTTACCAATATGTATCCGTTTGGCTTTTGACCTCGGATAAGTTGCTACATAGGCCTATAGCTTACTGTGCCGTCACAAGGTCAGAGAGTATTTCTGATCAAAACACTAAATAGAATAGATCATCCTCACACTACCAAGAAAATCTTGTTTTATTTCAAGTGACAAGCTCAAGATCAGATAGCTGAAAGCGAGCTCCTCTAAACTGTGGAGACACCAACTTGTGGCAACAGTAGACTTGATCGTGCAGCAGACTCAATGTGCAGTGTCAATGACAAAACCAAGCAGCATTCAAGTGAAAGTCATCACTACCACTAATGCTAGTCTCCCACAGCATTAACGTATGCAATAAACGTACTCTCTACATCAGCGTTTCCCAAACTCGGTCCTCGGGACCCCAAGGGATGCACGTTTTGGTTTTTGCCCTAACACTACACAGCTGATTCAAATGATCAAAGCTTGATTATTAGTTGATTATTTGAATCAGCTGTGTAGTGCTAGGGCAAAAACCAAAACGTGCACCCCTTAGGGTCCCGGGGACCGAGTTTGGGAAACCCTGCTCTATATCATCCACACTAGGTGACATGTTATTCAGTGAATAGCCATGAAATTGACATGAGAAACGTAACCCTTGCAGTGTGCAAAGGTATGACAACAGTGACTATGAGACAGTAAAACACAAACGAGACACTGTTCAAATGACACGCAGAGAAGGCCCCTTACCTTTCAGAGCACTCGGAGGCATCCTGTACACCTCTCTCCCGGCCGGAGCTCCATGGCAGCAATCCATCGCCATCAGCAGCAGTGACACCAGCAACATGCCGTCAGATCATCAGATCACCACTCAGCGGTGGGGACAAAAATCACAACAAAAAACAAAGACACAAACGTAGAAGAAGAACTGGGCTAGTAGTAGTAGTAGTAAAAGTCTCTGTCCAGCAGCCCCAGCTATTGTCTCGAGTCTTGTCTCTGTGGTGGCGGTCTCTCTGCACTCTCCCACACACACTGTGCTGCAGCAGGGCATCTGTCTGCAAGTTTCCTTTGAGGAACAATAGGAAGGAGTAGAGTGGTCTGCAGTATATATAGAGTCCCTCGGGGAATACCAGAGAGCTGGAGGAGGGGCGAGAGGGTGGGAGGAGAGATGCTCCCATGGCCAATGCACAAACAGCTGAATTCATTAAAACTGTGACAGCAAATCGAGTGCAACTTGCCAAGGCTGGAAATTACAAAGAGGTTTGGTTCTGTGAAAAGGGGGGAGAGGGAGGAGGGAGGGAGGGGGTGGAGTGAAGGGGCTTGGAGGCAAGGAGGGGGGTATTTGAATTCATTAACATTAGAGGGAGAGAGAGTTAGTTGTGGAGCTATGGCTGTGTGAGAGAGTTAATGTTGTGAAAGGGCTGAGCAAATAGGGGTATCAGTGACAGAAAGAGAGAGATAGGGAAGACAGAGAGACAAGGACAGAGATGAGAGGGAGAGAGAGCGCGAGCGAGAGCGAGAGAGAAAATGGATGAAGAGATTAGAGAAAGAGAGAGGGGGAGGGACAGAGCAGAGGACAGAGAGATGGGGGAGGGACAGTGAGAAGAGAGAGAGGAGCGTCTGCCATTCTCCCTGCCCGTCAAAGAGGGCATTGTGCTCGATGTCTCTCAGAGGATGCCCACTTCAAAGCCGTCCCCCGGGAATCACTCGGACACCGCCCCCATTGATCACTTACAGCCCTTTATCCCCCCCATTAAAATATTGTCAGTTCACATCACTTTTGTCTTTCTCAGATGAACTCACCAATCGTTATATAAAAGATACATTATAAGAATGGTGGTCATCATAAGTTGTGACTTATATTAGCAAACTTATATTAGTAACTTTTTGCTGTATGTCTATCCATTGCAGCTCCAGCATGAGTAGCCAAAACAGCATTGATTGTTATGAAGATTCTTCTTTGATGTGTTGTCGGTATGTAAGTAAGACCAGATTTTAATCAAATCAAATCTTGTACTTTATCTTTGTTATTAACATAAATACTACCTGCGCGCACACACACACACACACACCTTATTCTAAAAACTAGTAGGCCAATATCTGTAAGGGCAGTTCACGGATATTTCTACTGTACTGTGATCTGTTCTGCTATTCTATTTGGGAACAGGAAAAGGTGCATATGTATGCATCTTAATTTTGAATGCAATGTGGGTTTAAATTGATCCCAAAGTGTTAAACTTCAGGGCAAAATGTGGTCCTGGGAATATATGCTACCCCCCAATACAGGCAACTTATGTAGACTTGTGTTTCCACTGTAGTGCTAAGCTGTTATGAACCACAATACAAATTAGATACACTATGCAAAGGTGAAATGGATATCTGGAAAAAGAAAGAATAGCGTCTCGTCGGGCCAGATTTACTTAATTTGTACTAGACATGTTTGCACCTGCTATTTTCTAGTGGAACTAACGCATATTGTAATATAAGGACCAGGGGCTTTTCCTGCGCAGGTCACATGGCCAGGAAAGACTCCTAGCCCAATCTATAAGGTTTTACAAATAAGTCAAATAAAAGGTCAAGAGTAGGACACAGACCTTGATTCTAAACAAAGTTACTTCCAAGTTTAATTTTCTCTGAAAATCACAAGTAAAACTTTGCGCCGGTTCTTCAGACACCCATCACACAGGTTCTTGAGACGTAAAACCGACATCAAAACGTGGCACTAACGCCGACCACAGAAGACCACACCACTGACACAGACACAATGTTCTGTACCCCCATTCACAGACTGTTAGTGGCGAGAACGTGGTCTATGGTCACACACTATCTAGCCACCCACATAAATCGAGGTCTAGATGCAAAGCGCCGGTAAGCCAAAGAAGGGACGCAAATTGGAGTAATCTTTAAGCCAAGTGAGTTGCTGAACGATGAAACGCTGCACGGCTCCTAGCAGGACAGCATCAAAGGGTGTCGCTGCAACCCTCCCCACAGGCCAATGCTGACGGCAGGGTTCACACTGCCAACAACATACACTACATGACCACAAATACAGTGCATTCGGAAAGTATTCAGACCCCTTCCCTTTTTCCAGTTTGTTATGTTACTGCCTTATTCTAAAATGGCTTAAATTAATGTTCTTCCTCAATCTACACACAATACTCCATAATGACAAAATGAAAACAGTTTTGTTTTCGAAGAATTGTCCGTAGAGCTCCGAGACAGGATTGTGTTGAGGCACAGTTCTGGGGAAGAGTACCAAAACATTTCTGCAGCATTGAAGGTCTCCAAGAACCCAGTGGCCTCCATTCTTAAATGGAAGAAGTTTGGAACCACCAAGACTCTTCCTAGAGCTGGCAGCAATCGGGGGAGAAGGGCCTTGGTCAGGGAGGTGTCCAAGAACCCGATGGTCACTCTGACAGAGCTCCAGAGTTCCTCTGTGGAGATGGGACAACCTTCCAGAAGGACAACCATCTCTGCAGTACTCCACCATCTGCAGAAGCCACTCCTCAGTAAAAGGCACGACAGCCCGCTTGGAGTTTGCCAAAAGGCCTGAACTTGAACCCGATCTAACATCTCTGGAGAGACCTGAAAAAAGCTGTGCAGTGACGCTCCCCATCTAACCTGACAGAGCTTGAGAGGATCTGCAGAGAAGAATAGGAGAAACTCCCCAAATACAGGTGTGCCAAGCTTGTAGCGTCATACCCAAGAAGACCCGAGGCTGTAATCACTGACAAAGGTGCTTCAACAAAGTACTGAGTAAAGGGTCTGAATACTTATGTAAATGTAATATTTGAGCAAAATTTCTAAAAACGTGTTTTTGCTTTGTCATTATGGGGTATTGTGTGTAGATTGCAGAGATTATTATTATTTTTTAAATCAATTTTAGAATAAGGCTGTAATGTAACAAAATGTGGAAAAAGTCAAGGGGTCTGAATACTTTCCGAATGCACTGTAACTGGACACCTGCTCATCAAACATCTCATTCCAAAATCATGGGCATTAATATGGAGTTGGTTCCCCTTTGCTGCTATACCAGCCTCCACTCTTCTGGGAAGTCTTTCCACTAGATGCTGGAACATTGCTGCAGGGACTTGCTTCCATTCAGCCACAAGAGCATTAGTGAGGTCGGCACTGATGTTGTGCGATTAGGCCTGGCTCGCAGTCGGTGTTCCAATTAATTCCAAAAGGTGTTCGATGGGGTTGAAGTCAGGGCTCTTTGCAGGCCAGTTAAGTTCTTCCACACAGATCTTGACAAACCATTTCTGTATGGACCTCGCTTTGTGCACAGGGGCATTGTCATGATGAAACAGGAAAGGGCCTTCCCCAAACTGTTGCCACAAAGTTGGAATCATCTAGAATATCATTGTATGCTGTAGCGTTCAGATTTCCCTTCACTGGAACTAAGGGGCCTAGCCCGAACCATGAAAAACAGCCCCAGACCATTATTCTTCCTCCACCAAACTTTACAGTTGGCACTATGTAATCGGGCAGGTAGCGTTCTCCTGGCATCCGCCAAACCCAGATTTGTCCGTCCGACTGCCAGATGGTGAAGTGTGATTCATCACGCCAGAGAACGCTTTTCCACTGCTCCAGAGTCCAATGGCGGCGAGCTTTACACCACTCCAGCTGACGACTGGCATTGCGTATGGTGATCTTAGGCTTGCGCGCGGCCGCTCGGCCATGGAAACCCATTTCAAGAAGCTCCGGACGAACAGTTCTTGTGCGGACGTTGCTTCCAGAGGCAGTTTGGAACTCAGTAGTGAGTGTTGTAACAGAGGACAGACGATTTTTATGCGCTACCAGCTTCAGCGGTCCTGTTATGTGAGCTTGTGTGGCCTACCACTTCGCGGCTGAGCCGTCGTTGCTCCTAGACGTTTCCACTTCACAAAAACAGCCCTTACAGTTGACCGGGGCCGCTCTAGCAGGGCAGAAATTTGACTTGTTGGAAAGGTGGCATCCTATGACAGTGCCACGTTGAAAGTCACTGAGCTCTTCAGTAAGGCCATTCTACTGCCAATGTTTGTCTATGGAGATTGCATGGCTGTGTCCTCGATTTTATACACCTGTCAGCAACGGGTGTGGCTGAAATAGCCGAATCCACTAATTTGTATATAGTCTATGTGTGAAGGGTGTGTGACCATGTGGGTGTGTGTGCCTGTGTGTGTGTGTATGAGTGGCTGTGCCGCAGTTTGAGTGAGTGGCCGACTTTGCCAACATCAGAGGGCCGTGCTTTGAAGTTGCGGCATAACAGAGAGAACGGGTGTGTGAGAGAGACACAGACATTGGGGGATGGAAAGAGAGCAAAAAAGGAGAGAGAGTGTAAGAGGGAAAGCGCTATGTTCCGCTCTCTGAGCACTTTTTGTGTGTGTGTAGTGGGGGGGGGGGGGGTGAAATCGCAATATTTTGGACGATATTATATTGATACTTTGACTCCAAGTATCGATTTGTTATTTCCATGACTGATCAAAACTATTTTATCTCGTCTCCCTCTCTGCAGCAGACATAGTGAGCAATATGTTTGGAACATCAAATCGCAATATCAAATAGAATCGTGAGAATTGCAATAAATATAGTATTGGCACCTAAGTATCGTGATAATATCGTATCATGAGGTCCCTGCTAATTAGCAGCCCTGGTGTGGTGTGAGTCTCTGTGTTGTTTATGAGTTTGCAGTGTTGTGTTGGTACTGTAGTGTGTGTGTGTGGTGTCCCAGCCCCCTCCATGCACCCGAGCGGCACAATGGCCCTGAGATCTGTAAGCCAGCTCAGGCAGAGCGGGATGGCATGGGACAAACGGGCGGCACTCTTTCATCCTATCCCTCCATTCCCCTTTGATGTTCTTTGATTAATCTGGCCTCCACTCACTCGCTCCTTCCATCCATCCCTCGACGAGCCAGAGTGGGCATACTGTACTGTAGCATTCTCCTCCTCTCCCTCTCCCCTCCTTTCTCTTTGCCAGTCTATCGCTCAGTATTACTCCTCTTTTACCAGTGTCAGTGATGCTGACCACAGAGCTAAACCAACAAACACGGTTGCAGAAGGGAGAGGACAGCAGTCTTAGAAGGGAAAGTGAGAGATACTAAATGGAAAATGAGTGAGGACAGACAAACAAGTGGTTTTCAGGCATCTCACCTCTTCTTGCTGTGACAGCACATCTGCTGCTCTGGACCTGAAGGACATCAGAGAACATTGAATCAAGCCAAAGCCACACGCTTAAAATTCAACACACAAATCCATAGAAAGCTTAACTTGAAAGTGCATTACTGTACTGTTAAAAGCATGGCATGACTGACATTGCATCGTATGGAAAGGTTTTGGAGGCGCACTTACCAGAGCCACAGCCACAGCCACACATCAAGGGCCATCCCCTCTAGCTGGCCAGTCCAGCAGTGGTCTCAAATGGTCACAAAAGGTACATCTCACTGCCACAAGAAGTGCATTGCAGAAGCCTAGACAGGATTTGCTTTTGCCAGTCCATATCTCCATTGAGACAAGAAACACAATATTTGGAGAATTGGGTTTGGGGTCTGTATGTGTGTGTGTGTGGTGGTTCCTGCCCTGGGGGTCACCTGAGGTTACACATGGTGCTGACATAACACACACAAGCCCTACAAAGACACTACAGTGGGCGAGGGTCTAATAACCTTTCTGCTAAACAATGCATGCTGGAGTTTGGAAAAAAGAGCAACAATGTGAATGAGTTAGTAAGTGGCGTGAGAGAGCAAAGGTTTTGTAAAGGCTGTCAACGGGGACGTTTGAGATCTCTCTATAAGAATTACTTTGAGACCCCAGGGTGAGGACAAAGTGTGTGTGTGTGTGTGTGTGTGTTGGAGGGGCTTTGGGTACTGTAACTCCTCGCTGGGGGGCTGCATGAGTTGGTTACATAAAGAAAGCACACAACGCTCCACACACAATCACGCCACAATGAGAACCTTAACAACAATCGTGTTGAATAACACCCAGGTATTGTGTATGGTTATGAAACCATTTTCTCCCATTGTCTTAGGCAGAAAACAATTGAAAACTAGGTCAGTGGGGTACGCAGGGCTGGGCAGGGGAGAGAAGGGGTTCCCAACATGGCCGCACAGACAGACATACCTAAAAACATACACTTCAGCCCCCAGACAATATTAGGGCAAAAACATCTCGTCTCTGCAGGGCTGGAGCGGATCATTGAGAAATATCTTGTTAATTATCTTGATAACTACTGAACATTTAGTCGAATGCTAAATGCTTAAACTTAACCAGAAAATGTTCCCATTTGAATAAATCACATATTTAGATGGAGGATAAAACGGGTAAGATCAGCAACATTTTCAAAACTACATAGCAGTATGCTGATGAAAGTGGTTTGCTTATTCAAGTGATGTTGCATTTGTGATAATGAAGTTTAGTTCAAAATCTGAAAACATAGCTTTTAATATTTGTTATTAGGAAATAAAATGACAAAATCTGCACATTTAACAGGAAATACAATCTCTCTTTATCCCAATTTTTTTTTTTAAAGACAAATTAGAAACATGAACCTTTTACTTTTCCTTTTTATAAACTGGGGGAAGGATAGTGCAATAACTAAAGATTCCTAGTCTAGGCCACAAACCCATGGGATAAATCTCAAAAGTGTCTTACTCTCCTTGTTTAAAGGCAGTCCAGACTGAGGGAAGGAGACAAGGAGTGGAAGCCCCTTTAGACTATTGAGCAGCCTTTCTTAAAACAGTACATGCCCATCTCTGGCTGCAGTGGTCAGTGTCTCTGGTTGTTGAGGCTCTTGGCCTTGGAGATCATCTGTAGGGGGGTCTGCCTGCGCTCGGCCCCGGAGCCAGCCAAGGCCCCTTCCCTCTCCTGCTCCCCCAGAGGGTCCATGTCCTGAGTGGACGTAGATGGGGTCGCTGACATCATCCTGCGGATGTTACCCACCTGACCGAGACAGGAGAGGGAGAGAGCATTTTAGAGACACATATTTCCCTCAGATTACACAGACCCACAAAGAATTCAAAAACAAATCAAATGTTGATCAACTCCAATATCTATTGGGTGAAATACCAGTGTACAATCACAGCAGTAAGATTTGTGACCTGTAGCCACAAGAAAAGGGCAACCATATTTATTTTTTGCACATCGTTACAACACTGTCTATAGACATAATTTGACATTTGAAATGTCTTTATTCTTTTGGAAATGTGTGAGTGTACTGTTTACTGTTCATTTTTTAGTATTATCTATTTCACTTGCTTTGGCAATGTAAACATATGTTTCCCATGCCAATAAAGCCCCTTAAATTGGGGGGGGGGGGGGGGGGAAGAAATAAAATAAAATAATAGAAAAAGAAAAACAAATAGAAAGAGGAAAAGAAAAGAAAGAAAGAAAAAGAAAAGAAAGAGCTCACCCTACTAGAATCTGAAGTGAAATGTCTACTGTTTGCTGATGATCTGGTGCATCTGTCACCAACCAAGGAGGGCCTACAGCAGCACCTAGATCTTCTGCACAGATTCTGTCAGACCTGGGCCCTGACAGTAAATCTCATTAAGACAAAAATAATGGTGTTCCAAAAAAGGTCCAGTTGCCAGGACCACAAATACAAATTCAATCTAGACAACGTTGCCCTTGAGCACACAAGAAACGATACATACCTCGGCCTAAACATCAGCGCCACAGGTAACTTCCACAAAGCTGTGAACGATCTGAGAGACAAGGCAAGAAGGGCCTTCTATGCCATCAAAAGGAACATAAAATTCAACATACCAATTAGGATCTGGCTACAAATACTTGAATCAGTTATAGAACCCATTGCCCTTTATGGTTGTGAGGTCTGTGGTCCGCTTACCAACCAAGAATTCACAAAATGGGACAAACATCAAATTGAGACTCTGCACGCAGAATTCTGCAAAAAATATCCTTTGTGTACAACGAAAAACACCAAATAATGCATGCAGAGCAGAATTAGGCCGATACCCGCTAATTATCAAAATCCAGAAAAGAGCCGTTAAATTCTATAACCACTTAAAATGAAGTGATTCCCAAACCTTCCATTACAAAGCAATCAACTGCAGAGAGATGAACTTGGAGAAGAGTCCCCTAAGTAAGCTGGTCCTGGGGCTCTGTTCACAAATAAGACCCAAAGAGCCCCAGGACAACAACACGTTTAGACCCAACCAAATCATGAGAAATCAAAAAGAGAATTACTTGACCCTTTGGAAAGAATTAACAAAAAAACAGAGCAAACTAGAATGCTATTTGGCCCTAAACAGAGAGTACACAGTGGCAGAATACCTGACCACTGTGACTGACCCAAACTTAAGGAAAGCTTTGACTATGTACAGACTCAGTGAGCATAGCCTTGCTATTGAGAAAGGCCGTTCTAGGCAGACCTGGCTCTCAAGAGAAGACAGGCTATGTGCACATTGCCCACAAAATGAGGTGGAAACAGATGCACTTCCTAACCTCCTGCCAAATGTATGACCATATTAGAGACACGCATTTCCCTCAGATTACACAGATCCACAAAGAATTTGAAAACAAGCCCAATTTTGATAAACTCCCACATCTACTGGGTGAAATACCACAGTGTGCCATCACAGCAGCAAGATTCGTGACCTGTTGCCACAAGAAAAGGGCAACCAGTGAAGAACAAACACCATTGTAAATACAACCCACATTTATGTTTATTTATTTTCCCATTTGTACTTTAACTATTTGCACATTGTTACAACACTGTATATATACATAATATGACATCTGAAATTTCTTTATTCTTTTGGAACTTCTTAGGGTAATGTTTACTGTTAATATTGATTGTTTATTTCACTTTTGTTTACCAACTACTTCACTTGCTTTGGCAATGTTAATATGTTTCCCATGCCAATGAAGCCCTTGAAAAGAATAGAATAAATGAGAGAGAGAGAGAGAGAGAGAGAGAGAGAGAGAACAGAAAAGAGAAGGAGACAACACTAAAAAGTACCACAGAGCACACTTGAAATTTGAGCCCTTATTCTTTCTTACAACCCACCTCACCCCTCTCTGAATGTTTCTCTCACCTCGGCCTCGATATGCTGCAGAGTTTTGAGGTGGCTCTCTCTGCACTGGCTCACCCTGCCCACCTCCTCCTCTATGGAAGCAGAGATGCTCTCACAGCCACTGCACCTGTGGACACACATACAAGAGATAGATCAGCAGAATCTATATGTGGACAGAGAAACGGGCATATAACATACAGTAGAAAAGCAGGACTAATGATACAATGATTAATGATTCATCAGACACAGACAATAACATTCTAACATGGCTTCTGTAAGAAAAGTAAAAAAAAACTCAATAGCTCATAACCGGGTCTACAATCTCAAACGTGAATATGCAGAACTCTTGTATATGTAGACCCCCCCCCCCCCCCCATCCTCACCAATGTGCCAGTATGCTGGAGATGCGGCCCATGCCCTGGGAGCGGATGTCCCGGCCGATGCAGGCGTCCACCTCCAGTTGCTGCCTGCACTGGTCCAGCTTCCCCCGGATCACGTCAGCATACACAGCCTCAATCACCAGGTCCTCAAGCTCACGCACACTGCCCACCTCCAGGTCCTTCAGCAGCGTTGAGTACGGGATCACCTGCAGTCACCATAATAATAAACAGAAGTGTGTGAGAGTGATGCTGCACATTACACATTTGCAAACTGGTGCTGGACCAATAATGAATACCATGAATAGGAAGAAAGCCTACTGCTCTCTGTTTCTTTGCTCAAACTGTCTGCACCACAATACACAATCAATATTTAGGGCTGCTTCGGGTCTGTTGCAGTAGACAGTCCTGTACGAACCTGCGTGTTTGCAGCCAGGTTGACAATGGTCAGATGCCTTAGCTTGTTCTTCTGGGTCTCAGTCAAGGGGGGTAGAGTATCCTTGAATGCTGAAATGACAAATAGGACCAAAAAAAATTGTATTTTCCTAGCATGCTTATTGAGGGAAGATGTATTCGCTACAAATGTGATTTTTAGGACCCCTTTAGGTATAAAATAAACAAATATTTAAAACATTTGATAAATATTGAATTTGGCATTTACTACTATAGCCCATAGAAACACATTGAATACCACATTCAAAAATGAAAAAAAAGTAAAATAAAAAGACTGTCAACTAGGTTAAACTGATGGATTTTGGAGATGTTTTAATTTTTCAATAGACTTAAAAGATGCACTATGCAGAAATCGCTCTGCAATTTCCTGCTTGCTAAAATTCTAATAGTTTGCATAATTTACGTTTATGTGATAAAACAAGCAAGTATAGTGTAGAACAGGGGTCTCCAACAGGTTGATCGCAAGCTACCAGTAGCTCATAGCCCACCAGTAGCTCGTAGCCCACCAGTAGCTCGTAGCCCACCAGTAGCTCGTAGCCCACCAGTAGCTCGTAGCCCACCAGTAGCTCGTAGCCCACACATGAGTAAATCGCCAAACAATTCTTAAAGTACATGCAAGTGGACAAGTATCAGATACCGCAAGCTCACAGATAACATCTAATCAACGCAACATTGACATTATACCACCCCTGGTTAGCCACTATTGGCGCAAAAAAAACAAACCTAACACATTATCTGCCAAATAATTTCCAGCAATATTGCCCGTCTGTCTGTGTGGTGCATGCGTTTTTAGATCACTCCTGTGTGTAGCCAGTTGATGTGATAACCATCTTGTGGGTTGACAGAAATACTTTCCCCAAAACCTTGTCAATTAAATGTTAACTGAGAAGGCTTACCTGGCAGAAGTATATCATGAATAAGTATATAATTTGTATCTATTATTTGTTATTGCAAACTTTGCTGTGAAATTAGCAACAGCAGTACAGAACCATCGCTAGACCCCCACATTAGCTGTCACATTCCTCGCTCGCTAGATGCATAATTAAAGGAAAGATGCACAACTAAAGGGGAATTACACAACAAAAATTTGTTTTCTACCAGACCCTAAAAAAATTATGTCTACTGATGTGATTTAACCATTAACATGTACTCAGAACATCCAATTTCGTTTCTCTATGAACAATTGTAATTGAGTGAAAAAACATTCTCAAACCAGGATTTTTCCCCCTGAGAAAACATAGTTTGGTAAAATATAAAACAGAAAACATTGTACACTACTTTCTCTTGTACACTAAGGACCTGGGGAAGAGTTGCAGGTGAGAGGAGAGGAGAAGAATGTGTTTATTTGAAAGCTATAATATTTTTTTGTAGTTAAATAAAATGTGTATCTTAAAAAGTAGCTCTCATGCTAGAAAAGGTTGGAGACCCCTGGTGTAGATAATAATTGTACCATCTAAACTGCTGTGAAATATATTTTTCATAACCAAAAATATTTTATTTATTTTCAGCTGTTTAAAGCTGGCACACAAAACAGAAAGTAAAAAGATGCAAAAACGAACGGGAAGCATAGAAATAGTGCACATTGTACATATCTCCCGCTTCTTAGATGTGCTTTCAATGAGAATGACAGATCTATAGACTATTCAACCCATTTCTATGTGAATTTGGTCGGTTGCGCAAAAAGTTACATATTGCAGCTTTAAGGATTTTAGGATGAATGCACTATCTAATTGTAAGTCGCTCTGGATAAGTGTCTTCTAAATGACTAAAATGTAAATCAACCTGTGGATAGATACTGTAGTACAGGGTTCTTCAATTCCGGTCCTGGAGGGCCGAAACACCTCTGTTTTTCATCCTCTCCTTCTAATCAGGGGCTAATTCAGACCTAGGACACCAGGTGAGTGCAATTAACTACCAGGTAGAAATAAAAAACAGAAGTGTTTCGGCCCTCGAGGACCAGAATTGAAGAACCCTGCTGTAGTACCATTAACGTGTAACATGAATAACACACAAGCAGAAAAAAACATGAAAAGGATCAACTACCTTTATAATCATGGTATGTGCCATAGGCAAACATGTTGAGCAGTTGACAGTAGCCTTCATTGGGACCTTTTGACAGCTACAAGAGAGCAGTGAGTGAGGACAAATTGACAACATTGTACGCTATCACATAGCCTACAGATGGCTTGAAAACAGTGACATCTGGTGTTGTGGGGTTAGCCATTACATTTGAGTGAAAAATGAATGCACCCCACATTCATGCACAAGTCACTCCACTACAGTTAGAAAAAGTAACACCAAAAAAGCGAGTTAGCTAGCTACCTCTTGAATGCAGGGGAGTTCTAGGAATTCGCCAAAGACATACACCCCCGGAGCTTCCAGTAATTGGTTTATGAGGGCAATCAAAGCGGGTCCTTTAGCATTTTTGGCCAGCAACATGAACGGCTCGAGCTGGTTGATGTGTTTCGGCTCTCCAGACATCTGAGGAAAAACTGAGTGGAGCTAGCCAGAGCTAGCTAGCTAACGTTAGCAATGTCATTTTAGCCATCTAGCAAACGGGCTTATATTAAGCCACAGCAAGGCAATAAAGTTGACTAGCAAGTTTAGTTTGCTCACAGACAGTTACCGAAGTTAGCTATTGTAAGTACTCACATTGTTTTCGTTTATCTTGTCAAATATTTTTTCGCGCTGCTTGACTTAATGGCACAATTTTTTCAGGAGAAAGATGTGTGGGCGTGTTTAGGCAAATTACACATGCTTTTACAGGAGACATTAAAGGGATATTTCACCAAAATTACATGTTGGTTTCCTTACTCTGTAAGCAGTCTATGGTCATCGGGGTGGGTGAAATTTACTCCTCAGCCTGAAGTGTAGCCACTTGCACCGCTGGCCGACCAACTGGGTCATTCCTACAATGTGGTGCCTTTTGGACCTCATAACTTTTTTAAGGAAAGCATTTTTTTTTATTCTATCAGAAACGGACTTTCAGAAACACATATTGGTCAAGTTCAGGCACTTAAATCAGGGCTGGTCCTAACCTTAAAGGGGCCCTAAGCACCTCACAGACAAAACATTTTAGTGGTCCCCTTCTTGATGGTGGAGAGTTTTTAAGTACATTTCCTGCAATTTGCCATGGGATGTATAGAAAATGTTGCAGTTTTAAAGCCCGTTTTCTGCAATTCTACACATTTTGCTATGGGTGGAGAGAAAATGTAGCAATTTTCTAACACATTTCATGCAATTCTACTCATATTGACATGGGGTAGATATATATATATATATATTGGCAGTTTTACAGCTAATTTCGTGCAATTCTAATCATTTTGCCATGGGGTGGAGATAAATATTTGCAGGTTTAAAGCAAGTTTTCTGCAATTCACATTTTTCCATGGGGAAGAGAAAATGTTGCAAATTTATGACACCTTTCATGCAATTCTACTCATTTTGCCATGGGGCAGAGAGAAAAAATGTGTAGTTTTACAGCTAATTTCGTGCTATTCTAATCATTTTGCCATGGGGTGGAGATAAATATTTGCAGGTTTAAAGCAAGTTTTCTGCAATTCACATGTTTCCATGGGGAAGAGAAAATGTTGCAAATTTATGACACCTTTCATGCAATTCTACCCATTTTGCCATTGGGTGGAGAGACATTTTTGCATTTCTAAAGTAAATTTCCTGCAATTCTACTAGGGCTGACCCCAATTAGTCGACTGGTGGATTGTTTGGTTGTTAGGCTTTTGGTCGACAGAGATTGTTTTAGTCAAGCAGTAACATACATACACATACAGTGGGGAGAACAAGTATTTCATACACTGCCGATTTTGCAGGTTTTCCTACTTACAAAGCATGTAGAGGTCTGTAATTTTTATCATAGGTAAAATCCAGAAAATCACATTGTATGATTTTTAAGTAATTAATTTGCATTTTATTGCATGACATAAGTATTTGATACATCAGAAAAGCAGAACTTAATATTTGGTACAGAAACCTTTGTTTGCAATTACAGAGATCATACGTTTCCTGTAGGTCTTGACCAGGTTTGCACACACTGCAGCAGGGATTTTGGCCCACTCCTCCATACAGACCTTCTCCAGATCCTTCAGGTTTCGGGGCTGTCGCTGGGCAATACGGACTTTCAGCTCCCTCCAAAGATGTTCTATTGGGTTCAGGTCTGGAGACTGGCTAGGCCACTCCAGGACCTTGAGATGCTTCTTACGGAGCCACTCCTTTGTTGCCCTGGCTGTGTGTTTCGGGTCGTTGTCATGCTGGAAGACCCAGCCACGACCCATCTTCAATGCTCTTACTGAGGGAAGGAGGTTGTTGGCCAAGATCTCACGATACATGGCCCCATCCATGCTCCCCTCAATACGGTGCAGTCGTCCTGTCCCCTTTGCAGAAAAGCATCCCCAAAGAATGATGTTTCCACCTCCATGCTTCACGGTTGGGATGGTGTTCTTGGGGTTGTACTCATCCTTCTTCTTCTTTCTCCAAACAAGGCGAGTGAAGCTCTATTTTTGTCTCATCAGACCACATGACCTTCTCCCATTCCTCCTCTGGATCATCCAGATGGTCATTGGCAAACTTCAGACGGGCCTGGACATGCGCTGGCTTGAGCAGGGGGACCTTGCGTGCGCTGCAGGATTTTAATCCATGACGGCGTAGTGTGTTACTAATGGTTTTCTTTGAGACTGTGGTCCCAGCTCTCTTCAGGTCATTGACCAGGTCCTGCCGTGTAGTTCTGGGCTGATCCCTCACCTTCCTCATGATCATTGATGCCCCACGAGGTGTGATCTTGCATGGAGCCCCAGACCGAGGGTGATTGACCGTCATCTTGATCTTCTTCCATTTTCTAATAATTGTTGTTGCCTTCTCACCAAGCTGCTTGCCTATTGTCCTGTAGCCCATCCCAGCCTTGTGCAGGTCTACAATTTTATCTATGATGTCCCTACACAGCTCTCTGGTCTTGGCCATTGTGGAGAGGTTGGAGTTTGTTTGATTGAGTGTGTGGACAGGTGTCTTTTATACAGGTAACGAGTTCAAACAGGTGCAGTTAATACAGGTAATGAGTGGAGAACAGGAGGGCTTCTTAAAGAAAAACTAACAGGTCTGTGAGAGCCGTAATTCTTACTGGTTGGTAGGTGATCAAATACTTATGTCATGCAATAAAATGCAAATTAATTACTTAAATCATACAATGTGATTTTCTGGATTTTTGTTTTAGATTCCGTCTCTCACAGTTGAAGTGTACCTATGATAAAAAATTACAGACCTCTACATGCTTTGTAAGTAGGAAAACCTGCAAAATCGGCAGTGTATCAAACACTTGCCAGGGCAACTAAGGAGTGGCTCCGTAAGAAGCATCTCAAGGTCCTGGAGTGGCCTAGGCAGTCTCCAGACCTGAACCCAATAGAATACAAAGACAAATCTTTGAAGGGAGCTGAAAGTCCATATTGCCCAACGACAGCCCCGAAACCTGAAGGATCTGGAGAAGGTCTGTATGGAGGAGTGGGCCAAAATCCCTGCTGCAGTGTGTGCAAACCTGGTCAAGACCTACAGGAAACATATGATCTCTGTAATTGCAAACAAAGGTTTCTTTACCAAATATTAAGTTCTGCTTTTCTGATGCATCAAATACTTATGTCATGCAATAAAATGCAAATTAATTACTTAAAAATCATACAATGTGATTTTCTGGATTTTTCTTTTAGTTTCCGTCTCTCACAGTTGAAGTGTACCTATGATAAAAAGTACAGACCTCTACATGCTTTATAAGTAGGAAAACCTGCAAAATCGGCAGTGTATCAAATACTTGTTCTCCCCACTGTGTGTATATATATATATATATATATATATATATATATATATATATATATATATATATATATACAGTGGCTTCCGAAAGTATTCACCCCCTTGGCATTTTTCCTATTTTGTTGCCTTACAACCTGGAATTTAACTGGATTTTTGGGGGGTTTGTGTCATTTGATTTACATGCCTACTACTTTGAAGATGCTAAATATATTTTTTTGTGAAACATAAAAAATAAATAAGACAAAAAAAAAAAAAAATTGAGCGTGCATAACTATTCACCTCCCCAAAGTCAATACTTTGTAGAGCCACCTTTTGCAGCAATTACAGCTGCAAGTCTCTTGGAGTATGTCTCTATAAGCTTGTCACATCTAGCCACTGGGATTTTTGCCCATTCTTCAAGGCAAAACTGCTCCAGCTCCTTCAAGTTGGATGGGTTCTGCTGGTGTACAGCAATCTTTAAGTCATACCACAGATTGTCAATTGGATTGAGGTCTGGGCTTTGACTAGGCCATTCCAAGACATTTAAATGTTTCCCCTTAAACCACTTGAGTGTTGTTTTAGCAGTATGCTTAGGGTCATTGTCCTGCTGGAAGGTGAACCTCCGTCCCAGTCTCAAATCTCTGGAAGACTGAAACAGGTTTCCTCAAGAATTTCCCTATATTTAGCGCCATCCATCATTCCTTCAATTCTGACCAGTTTCCCAGTCCCTGCCGATGAAAAACATCCCCACAGCATGATGCTGCCACCACCATGCTTCACTGTGGGGATGGTGTTCTCGGGGTGATGAGAGGTGTTGGGTTTGCGCCAGACATAGCGTTTTCCTTGATGGCCAAAAAGCTCAATTTTAGTATCTTCTTCCATATGTTTGGGGAGTCTCCCACATGCCTTTTGGCGAACACCAAACGTGTTTGCATATTTTTTTCTTTAAGCAATGGCTTTATTCTGGCCACTCTTCCGTAAAGCCCAGCTGTGTGGAGTGTACGGCTTAAAGTGGTCCTATGGACAGATACTCCAATCTCCGCTGTGGAGCTTTGCAGCTCCTTCAGGGTTATCTTTGGTCTCTCTGATTAATGCCCTCCTTGCCTGGTCCGTGAGTTTTGGTGGGTGGCCCTCTCTTGGCAAGTTTGTTGTGGTGCCATATTCTTTCAATTTTTTTTATAATGGATTTAATGGTGCTCCATGGGATGTTCAAAGTTTCGGATATTTTTATAACCCAACCTGATCTGTACTTCTCCACAACTTTGTCCCTGACCTGTTTGGAGAGCTCCTTGGTCTTCATGGTGCCGCTTGTTTGGTGGTGCCCCTTGCTTAGTGGTGTTGCAGACTGGGGCCTTTCAGAACAGGTGTATATATACTGAGATTGTGTGACACTTAGATTGCACACAGGTTTACTTTATTTAACTAATTATGTGACTGAATGTAATGGGTGGCACCAGATCTTATTTAGCGGCTTCATAGCAAAGAAGGTGAATACATATGCATGCACCACTTTTCAGTTATTTATTTTTTAGAATTTTCTGAAACAAGTTATTATTTTAATTTCACTTCACCAATTTGAACTATTTTGTGTATGTCCATTACATGAAATCCAAATAAAAATCCATTTAAATTACAGGTTGTAATGCAACAAAATAGGAAAAATACCAAGGGGGATGAATACTTTTGCAAGG